TAGTGTGGACTTGGGACACAGGACGAGAGCACATCTTGAAGTATTTTCTTACCCTGTATCTTACAAACAGAGATAAAATCCTGCAAACACTTCTAAAACACTCAACAGATGTGCACAGAAGGGTGTCCTATAAACCATTTAAAACCCATTAGCAGGCAGCAGATGCAGAAAATACTACTGAACAAATGTATTTAAAACCTTTTGCAGATGGCTTCAAATGGTGTTCCTGCAATATCCACAAACCATCAAGCACATGTGCAATCTTAAGTAAATGTCAAACCGGAGACTCCTCTCCATGCAAACCCACTTTCAGATGATCAAACTGAACCGATCCGTCTCATTTCTGTTTGCTGTTTGCATTTAATTCAAATGTTCACTGTACTGCCTTTACAAATCAAACATACAGCATGTAGACATAAACATTTGTAAAACTTGAAGACTTAAAGGTGTTACTAACAGAGCGCCTTTCAATATGTGTGATTTAGTAGATTAACAAAGGCAAAGAGTGGAAGAGGTGTAAGTCCACAGCCCTGCTAGCAGCTCTGTGAGGCTGTACTTGGAGCTAAAGCCGAGGCTGATGGGAATGTCATTAGTTTTTCTATTTAAAACTGAAATTTGGATCTGATGGCGCTAGATGGCACCACACAGGATCACCACAGTCATCAAACCTCCTCTGGGGACCCGGAATATCTGTAGTACATTTCTCCACAATTATCAACCGTATCACTGTGAATGTCTCTACAAAATGTGTGCCAGTCCATCTCGTAGATTTTTCAATTTATTTCACTGAATACCTCAAAAATGTGACCTGCTGGTGGCACTACACAAAGAGTCAGAGGATCACCAAAATCAGTACGTTTTATTCTTAAGGGCCCTTTAAAATGTTATAGCAGCCCAGTTAATAGTTGTTGAGATATTTCACAATGAATTACAAATATCAACCTCATGGTGGCGACCATGACCGTTATTGTCTCTAAAATGTAATGGCTGTCCATCTTATAGTCAGATATTTCAGTCTGGACCGGAGTGGTGGACTGACACTGGCATCCCTAGAGCCATGTTGCTACCACTGCAGAGATGGCTATTACTTAAAAAAAGACTTCAACCTGTGCATTCATCATCAGATTAATGGCATACAATTGCTCAAAACATGCTGATCCAAATGGAAAGAAAGAATTTCTGCCAGTAAGAATGCAACGTCAGTGATCCCTCTGTAGAATCTGAACTACAACAAACTGAAGTGTACAGTGCCCGCCTGGCCGCTTACCTATTCACAATACCCTGTGCAAATATGCTTTGGAAGGATTACATGGAAAGGAATGATAGGTCCCCTGGTGACGCAACAGTGTGAAATGTCATCTGAAAACTGGGTCCAGCTGAGTGTGATACTGCAGCCGAATGAAAGCAGGTTAAAGATAAGGCGATTCCCCCGAGGCTGAGCATGTCAGCAGGGAGAGAGCAGGTCTCGTAACAAGTGAGATAAGCTGAGATAAGGGCAGTTTAAAATGATGGCCTGACTCTGGGTAAGGTTACATAGAGGTTGAGTTACAGCCTACAAACGTTTCTGCTGTACATCCATTGTGTGGAGTGCTGTTAACAGAGAACATCTGAGCTTGGGTGTTTGGTTGAACTGTTAAGAGCTAGATGTGACTCCAAGAGTCTGTGGGCTGTGCAGCAGAACGCTGCAGTGATCAAAAATAATCTACTGCCTACAAATGTTGAAAGTAAAAATGTGGGAATGCTGAGGTGCTTATTTGCCTAAGGAAAGTTTGCTGAGCATACACACTCTTTTGGACCAGAATGCTTTTAGGAGCTGTCCAGCACAACCACACTATCTATTTCGGGCTGCTTTTGGGGGCTGAGTGCCCACTCCCCTCCCCAACACTGATATTTCTGTACAGTCTGGAGACTTGAACTGGCGACTTTACCTCTCTACCACAAGTAAAAGTCTACAATACAGGCGTATTCACAGCCGTGGGTTCCATGCAGTCCCTCTGACAAGAAAAGGCAGTGATACACAGAGCAGCTTCTTTGTTGCTGCTTAAGAATGTGGCTGGATTTCCAGGAGAGCCTCCAGCTGATCTGACCTGCAGGTCTTTGGACTGAGAGAGGAAACCGGAGCATCCTGAGGATATTCATGACCTTTTTCCTTTCTTTCTTTAATTCAGACACATGTAGTGCGAGTGCATGGAATTTGCCATTACATAACTTATAAACATGAATTATATAGCAGTTAACATTAAAATCCTAAAACAGGAGGCCGTCAGTCCAGTCTTTAAGGGTCTTCTTGACATGGAAAGGAATGGGGACCCCTGCCTTAATATATGCTGTATTCTGCTTTCAACATATGTGAGAAATACTTAATAATCATCCACAGTACCCCGCTGACAGGGACATCATGACTGCATTGTGGTCTTTTCAGTCTACTTCGTGGCAGCTGCTTAAAAACAAACAGTGACTGCAGTGTTTTTACTGGTTTCTACACCTTGTGTGACAAGACTGGTGATGATGCCTGTTAGAATAATATCCAAAGTGAGGATCTTTCTCTGCAGAGAAGAGGATTTAAAATTGCTGCTTTTCTCTGAAATTGACACTTATGTTGTACATTATTTGTACTATGTACTTATTTTTGTTGGCACGAGGTACACAAAGTATAAAGTGTTCAATGTTTTTCATATTTCATTCAATTTCTTTTTCAAGTTTACTTACATATTTTGTATTTTCACATTGTTTTTAAAAAGTAGACACTCAAACTATAAGACTCATGATTCTCTACCCATTCACTTGATAGAAATATTCTTATTGACCATCTATCTTAAATGTGTATTCTATTTTGTGATGCCCTAACCTATAAGTACAACCAAGTTTCAATGGCAGGATAAGTTACAGCTACTGTGTTTGATGCTGGTTACAACACTGACACTACAGACACCCGCTCCAAACACTCGAATTACAACGTACTGAGAATAAACTGCAGTAGCACCTTTAGGATACATCTGTTCAAAATGCAACAGTATGAGAGGTATTTCATTGCACCGTATGGGGCTATATAAAAGATAACGTTTTATTTGGACGATACGCAGTGATAGAATCCCATTGCAGCCAGAGTTAAATCCTGTGTGTGGAAACCTTGACAGGATGAAAAATGGAACTCCGAGCTTTGCAGAATCATTGTTGTGTTTCTTGGCTGTTTTTCCATCTTACACTTGGCCAACTACTTATGTAACCAAATAGTGAGGGTTCAAGGAGGGCGTCTTACTTTCTGGAGTTCCCCAAGAAGTCCAGCACTGTGAAGCCCCGTCTGTGTTTAGAAAGACGGGGATGACCTCACAGATGCTTCATCCAGTTCTGTCTACAGCCTGCTGCGACCACAGCCCTATTGCTCATAGCCAGCTGATCAGCTGTTGGTCCTAAGGCACTGTGCCTCAGGGCCATGGATCCTGTTGGTTCTCTGCCCTGATTCTAACCAAAGGGTTTTGTGTCTTTTAAACAAAGACTGGAGAAAAAAACCCTGTGTGAGGAAATGTGGATCAGAGGCTAGCTAAGAAAGAGGGTAGCCAGCTAGCTATAGCTACTGATAGCTTAGGCCTTTCTGAAGACCTCGTTATTATAGTTTGTGTTTGTACGAACGCCTATAGAGGAGAAAGAGAGTGAACGTTTTAGTTCAAAGTTTGAGCAGGAAAAAGGCAGGGAAAAAGAAATAACTCAAGGGCCAGCTTTTTCCAGAGCTTTCAACCACATCCCAAAGCCTTCATCAGCAGATGGTTTGTTTGGTTGTCATCCCCGATCTCAGTTACATACCTGGGGGGTGGGGGGGTTGATACTCACTGATAACTGAGCAAATTCCAACTGCAGATGAAGATCATGAGATGTGGTTGAAAGTTCAGGAAAAATCTTGTAGAGGGAACTCGATATTTTGTCCCTAGTAAGTAGCTCTTGAGTGAAGAGGTTTGTTTGTGAAATCCCCCCCCCCAAAAAATAAAATAAATCAGTTTAAAGCTTTGGCTCCGTTCACACTGCAAGCCTTTGCGCTTGATTCTATTCTTGTTGTTCGTATTTGTTAAATGTGGTCCATATCGGATTCCAGTGTGAACAGGTCACGGTCCTGAAGTCATGCGAATGCCGATCTAGAGTGACATAAAGGTGCAGTGTTCACACTGAGGTCACAATACATCAGACCTGTCTGATTTGGACCACGTATGAAAGTGGAATTGAAAAGGTCAGATTCCATTTGCTTTGTGCTTGTCATGAAAAAAACTGTTCTCACGTATAAGCAAAAAAATGTGAATTGACTTCACTTGTGCCTGCAGTGTGAACGTAGCCTTTGAATTAGGTGAGAATACATGCGGGAAGGCCCAGGTGGCAACAAGGGGAAACTTTAGCAGTGGAAATTCTGGCTTTGAGGTACCCTGTGGAGTGTCCGAGCACAAGCAGCGTTATTGAGCAGTGTTTTTATAAGTGGGTCCCTATTTCTTACAGGTGGTGGCGACGTGCCAAGAAACACTAGAACGTAAACCATGCAGGTTTCAAACTTCGAAAAATCAGCTTTGCAAATGTTTTATGAGGAAGGAAATGCATCCAGCACGTTTGTTGGACCTGAAGGATTCACAATGTATACAAAGGAAACTCCACGGGACACCTTTAAAGTACTCGGAGATCCTGTAAGGTTACAATGGTGTCAAGAAATTTGCAGAGTTCTGATCAGAGCTACAGGATAAACCTTTTTCCCCCCACGGTTGAAAGTTAACGTATACCCCCCCCACAGCATGGAAACACACAATACCTAGTACATACTACACAATATAAGCCACACCCGTGCATTCACAGAGCTTAGTGTAAATGGCTTGAGGAACACAAACAACAAGCTCTGAATGGGCTGCTGACTGTACAATAGATGTGATCAGCTCTGTTGTGAGGCAGAATACAGGGAGCGTATCATCTGTGATCAGAGAGGACAGCCCCACATTAACAGTCTTCACAAACGCACGGGAGCACGGGAGTTTTTCTTTTATTGGCAACGATCTTTATTATCTCTTCCAGTTTTGGATGTGAAAAGAGGCATTAATTTTCTTTAATTAAATATCTTTTTAATAAAGTAAAGCAAAAAATATTTACAAATTTTCAATTAACTTGTAATCAATGACTTGGGTTGGATAATTACAAGCACCTTCTGCCAGCTGAGGAGAGAAATATATAAATACAGGGAAAAGAGCATTTTTTCTTTGAAAAAAACAAAACAAAACAAAAAAATTCACAATCCATCATATATTTACAGAACTCTCCTGAAATGCATTTCAACTCATGGAAGCAGAAAAGGCCTTAGGATTCGTACTGTTAAACTATTTTTAAAGTTTTTCATTTAAGTGGATTTTTGACTGTATACTTTTCTCTTCAAGTTTCAATAACGATATTTTATCTTTTTAAAATCCGACAATGGGCTTCGTAGGAAGGTGCAGCCGTGAGCCCTCGCTCTTGCTCTCCCTTTCTCAGTCCACAGTTTGTTTTTTGAAGCGCAGGAAACATGTGAAACAGACACGTCGGAGGGTATACTGGGGTTTGGGCTTGGGTTTGAGGGGCGTCGGGGGCCGCAATCGTCACTCCCGAGCAGCAAAAATGGTCAATGTTCATCGCCCCCTCCCCATAGTGACACCGTCCTCATAAAGTCTGCGTGAAATCCTCGGGAGTCCACATCCGTTACACTAACTCCTATCTGAAATGTCCGCTCTCGCCACTTTTCTTTGTAGTTTTCTATTTTCTTACAAAACACACTCCAATCATCCAACACGGGAAAAGAAAGAGAAACATAGCTAGCCGTCTACACAAGCGTGTCATGTAGATCGAACACCATACATGTGACATGACAACGTGTCTGTGTCGTGTCCACATGACAAAGGATGAAGTCATCAAAAATATAGATGTGAACAGCCTTTTAAAGTTCTCTTATATATCTGTCATTAAGCAAAGTGTCTTGAATAGTGTTGCTGTGGCGCGGAAAAGCCATTGAAAACAGGAGATAAACCTAAAAAAAATACTGAAGGAAACATTATCTCCCACGGCTTTAACGCTTCTCAGCATTCTCTCTCTCATATCTATTCTCTCTATTTAATCCTGTATTTTCATTTACTTCAAAAAAGACATTCGGTTGCTCAAGGAAAAACAAGAAACCCAAAAAAAGGAAACAAAAAAAAAATAACACGATCGAACGTTCGATCCATAATACAATCTCTCCCAGTTGAAGAATTTTTTTCTTGTTTTTTTTTTTTCTGTTTATGCAGAAGGATTTTGTTGATTCAGAGTTCTCTGAATCATCCACAGAACATTCGCTCTCCCCAAGGATCCTCTCTGAACTCCCACCAGTTCCTCCCAGCGGGGGTCCCTAGCTGTTGTCAGACTCGTCCTCGGCCTCGCGGAGCCAGGTGAAGAAGGCGGTGACGGACTTGAGGGCCACGCCCTTGCCCTGCTGCTCGGCGGGGTCTTTGCTAGACTCCCACTTGTAGAAGGCCTCCTCTTTGATCACGTCCTCGTCGTAAAGAGTGTCAAAGAACATCCGCAGAAGATCTGAGGAGGGGGAAGAGACGTGTTCACAAGATATTTCTCGACAATTTTAACTAAAATTAAAACCAGTTTCACATCAACAACAATTAATAGAATTTACATCTGAAAAGTTATTTTGTGTATTTTTGTGGGAAATATATTGAAATAATGCACACAAAATAAAATGTTATATCTGTGGTAACAAAGACAGCCACTCACTGGCAGGCTGCTCCATCTGCACCATCAGGGCCTGCAGGGCGTACAGAGCCTGCAGCTCCTTCTGTTCGTCCTTCAGGTATTTCTGCAGCAGCTTGGCCCTCTGTTTGATCTTCTCACCGTCCACCTTGTAGGGGTTCTCATCTGCAGGCATTTTAGGAAAACTTAATTCAACAGGACTCCAAAGGCACAGTCTGCAAGTAAGCGTCGACTTGACATGCTACTGCAGTTGCACTGGACTACTCTAGTAATTCACTGACGTATTTTCATTCATAGTGATCAGTGAGAGTCTAGGCTTCAGTGAGGAATGTAAAGAATGCAAGGTGCTGACTCACAGATGACTGCTGACTGGCAGATGGAGGTCATCAGAGCTCGGACAAACGTGTTGGAGGAGGTCTGCTGTTCATCTAGGTTGGCCTGCACAAAGACAAATGCATTTACACACAGAAAACTGGAGCTTCAAATATCAATAAAGAAATAACATAATAATAATAACATAATGTTGGAACCTGTTAATATGTAAAAAAGACTCCTACTGCTCTGTTTGCTTGCTTACAATGAGCTGCAGGGGACAAATACAGCACGTCTCAGGTTCAGTATTCTGAATTTAATTACTTACACTACTCACAAAAAGTTAGGGATATTCCACTTTCGGGTGAAATTTATGGAAAATGTAAAAAGTTGATGCTACAGTGATATTATATCATGAAAGTAGGGCATTTAAGTATAAGGTCAAATTAAGATCACCTGGAAAGGTTATAGTGCATTTTATGTACATTCTGAAATTTCATCCAAAAGCCGAACTTTTTGAGTAGTGTATATTTGAGGTTATAAATGTCCATGTTTTTCTTTTTCTTACAGCCTTTAAAGTTCGGAAAGTCCATATACAAAAATGCTGCTATGCAGACCTGCACTCTAAAAGGTTGTTCAACTGCAAAAAGGTTTTTTTTCAGTGAGATTTGGTCTGATGTTTATGTCTAAATAGCAGAGCCATGACTAGCCCTCACTTTACCAGGGTTCCCACTCTTTTTAAGAAATCATTTTCCAGGAGTTTTCCAAGAGATTTTTCTTGACAATACAGGACAGCACTTGCTGTGGTCAGCGTTTATTCTTGCCCTGCTTGACTGTTTCCAGCGATTTGACTGCAGTTTTCCCCTATCAGTAACATTAATTTGGCCACAGCCCATAAATAACTATTAAAATCAAGGAACTTACTTTTTTTTTTTTCTTTACAGAAAACTATTCTCACCTATTAGGCTATTAAAATAAGAGGTAGGAAGTGTTGCATTTCCAAAAAGAGCTGAAGTGAGTGTTTTCTCTTCGGCTTTGCATCTGGTAAACCCGCTTGGAAGTTTCATACTGCACAACTCTTCCTACCAACAGTGGAGTTTAAAATATGCACACCTAGGTTCAAGAAATCTGAGCGAAGGGCTAAAATACAATTAAAATTTTCCAGGACAATGTAGATTATTTTCAGGATATTTCGTCGTCATTTCCATTAATTTCCAGGGGTTTCCATTAATGGAAAACCAGTCTCTAAATTTCTAGGTTTCAAGGACGCATGGGAACCCGGTTTACTTTTAAGAAACACCCTGAAATTAGTACAACTGATGTCATTAATATGCAATTCAAGTCAAGTGCTTGATACACACGTGACCAAAGCCTTATTAGCCCACTTAAAAACAAAGGAGTAAAGATTGTGAATGGAAACCAAATGGACAAACTTTAGAAATCAAACACAAGAAGGAACACAAACCTCAATCCAGTCAAAGATCCTCTCGTTGTCGGCCTTCTCATTGATCAGTTTGTCCACCTGTTTGGTCAGCTCTGCAGAGCTCAGCTCCTTTTTGCTCTTCTCGGACTCATCCCCCAGCGTGAACTCCACATCCTAGTTAACACCATGAAGACAGAAACAGGCTTAATGATCATCTTTTTGAACAAGGTCTTTTTATTTGAGATTTTCACAACAGGCAGAGCACAAACACAATACAAACAATAACCAATCCCTAGTCACCACCCACTTCGAAAAAGGGACAACAGTCCTCATCTTTGTTTTTATACTACAGTACAGTCTCATAACTACACCAACACTGTAAATACAACAGATGATTAACAAGTGTATACTGAGAGAATATTGTAGTGAATGTCCCCAGTTGACGGTGATTAAGCTAGTGAACAAACTCTCACCTTTTCTGTCACAAACTTGTTGACGTCTTCATCCTCAGGGAGGAAGTCTTTCCACTGGAGGTCAGCCTCCCTCCACATTGTGCCTGCCTTTTTCTGGCTCTGATGAAGGAGATACAGATTCACTGATCACATGTGGCTAACATTCATCGCAGTCTTATGAACTGGTTCAAAGTTACTGGTTCGATTGCTAGAACTGAATTACAACAAAATGTTCAAAAACACTTAGCGGTCAGAATAATACACTATTAGATACAATATAATCTAGATAAGCGATTATTGTTGATTTTTTCTCACCATTCCTTTGCAGAGTAAAGTGAGGATCTGGACCAGCAGGACTCCGGCTATGCCCAGAGGGATCAAAGGCTTTGAAATCTCCCTGGGAGGCATAAAAGGTCAACATAAGTCAGACATCTCACTAACAAATTAAAAAACAAGCCAAAAGCTATCTTCTCTTGCAAATTTCCTCTTCTAACACACCAGGGGGTCAAGTGAGGCCTGAGACTAACCTGAAAAGTTCTCCCATGGGGATCCCTCCCTCGTGGAGCATGGGAGTGATCAGTTCTGCCAGGTACAGCCACATGTGGGGGATGTCTATTGCCATATCTTCAGCAACCTCCAGGATGTCCTGAAGCCTGAGGAAACACACACACACACAGTGCACACATTACAAAGTTTATTCAAGATTTAAAAAGGAACATTACTCAACAGATGGGACTAACTAAGCAACATGGCACCACACAGACACAAACAATATGACACAATATGTAAACTGACTTGTATTGGCTGAGTGCAGTGGATTAAAGATTTCTCAATTTCAGCAACTGCTTAAAAAATATTACTTCTCAGAGACTAATTTACTAGTTTAAGCCAGTATTTCCCCTGTGGGCTTCTGTTTATTTAAATCCTGCTATTATAAACTTTATTTCAATCAACACTTGAAGCTGTGCTATAATACATCTCACAGAGGAGTATGGTCCAACCGTACTTGCTCTTGGATTTAAATATTTACTTTTTAGGGACCGAGCCAGCGACCGCTGGAGGTCCCTGTTGTATTTCTTCTTCCTTATTATTATTTTTAGCACTTTTGATTGCGTTTTTGCCCCCCTAAACATATACGAAAAGTCAATTTTATTTGGCAAAGTGGTCAAGCCTGGTGAAAAATGTTATATTCTATGCGTCGCTTTCAGGTTGGCCACTAGGTGGTGCTACAATCATAAAAAATGCGTTTAGTCTAATAACTTCTTCGTTTGTTGCACATTCAAAAAACTCGTATCCACGTGTTCGGTGAATGGAGCTGAATCTCCCCATATAGCCCACGCCCACTTCTGCCTATAATTTTTCTCCACTAGAGCGCGAAATGTCCATAAAGTACTTTTCAGTGTTCCCCCCATGCGCTTTGTCCGATTCGCACAAATTTTTTCCCGTAGCATCTGAGGACCCTCAGAATAAAAAAGTGATTAACACAATTTTGTTATTTCAAAAAAAACAGCAAGTTATAAAATTAGCACTTCCTGTGGATTTTTCGTCAAAAAAGGAAGGGGACCATTTCTCCACATTGGTATGTCCGATTGACACCAAACTTGGGTCCATAGTTCCCCATGTCTTCCTTAAGCATCGTGCACAACATCAGGCCATCGCCACTAGGTGGCACTCTTTAAATTGAAGAAGTTTGTATCTCTAAAACGGTATATGTGATTAAGATGAAACTTGGTACGATACTTCCCCATGGCTCCCTGAGGCTCGCTAAAGAATGTGTCAACAATCCGCCACTAGGTGGCGCTCTGGTGGCATGGTAAATCACTGCGCGGAGACCGTAATAGGTATGAATATGAAATTCACAGGGTACGTGTAGAGTGGTGCCTGAAGCTCACATACCAAAAATCATGTTCGTCGTGTTTGTAGCACCCCCTACAGGATAAAAAATCAGCAGCCCCGGCGCCACGTTTAACCAATATGTACGAAACTCGGTAGGCACGTGTAACATGCCGGGACGTACAAAAAAGCCTCTTGGACCCATACCAGAAACCCCACAGGAAGTCGGCCATTTTGATTTTCGGCGAACTTTTTGTGTTGTATTTGAACAAACTCCTCCTAGGGAATTTATCGGATCTGCTTCAAAATTATTCAGTACAGTCAAAAAAATGGTGCTGATTAAAAGCTGTGCTATTTGTGACTGTATGTTGAAGGGCGTGTCCGTGGCGTGCCCTCAAAGTTGGCCAGGTTGAATCGAATGTCAAACTGTGATGCTATTTCCGGCATTTAAGGACTTCTGTTATAACTAACTCCTCCTACAGATTTTATCAGATTGACTTCAAATTCGATCACTTCAATCTACACACATTGGCGATCAAAAGTTGTGCTATTTGTGACTGTATGTTTAACCGTGTGCCCGTGACGATGTGTCGAATTCCACCGATTGGCCATCAAACAGATAGTACTCATATCTTCAGTGTACAGTCCCACCCTGAACACGTCCTCATAACTTCAGCGTACATGATCCAATCTCAATGAAACTTCACGTGTTTGATAACAGTCCCGCCCTGAACACGTGTACATGACAATATTCAGACATAGCGATAGCGCCACTACTGACAACAAGAAGTAAGCGCTGCGTGGCGATTTTCATGTTGTGGTCCGCACGTGTTACGACGGCACGCGACACGGCCGCAGCACGCCCCAAGTTGCGTGGAGTGCGAGGTCCCGCCCAACGCTGCTTGCAGCTTTAATTTTTTTAATAGCTTCTCATAGGTTTTCTGCAAAACTCAAAAGACACACAACATACATATAACTACATGACTTATTGAATAACCACTATGGGGCTCCATACTGACCCTTTATAGTACTGCTGTGTTGGGAGAATGCCTGTTTTAATGAGCTGATGCAGCAGCTGGCCCATGTGCTCCCTGGCGATGGTGCTGCGCTCCAGCGTTGACTCCAGCCCGTTTCGCACAAACACAAACAGGAGCTGAGTGCTGTTCATCTCCTGCACACACTGCAGAGCCTCCTGTTGGGACACATTAGACACACATATTGTTGTCAGTGTTTAAGGTCGTTAGTGGGTGCCTTCTGTTAGGATGTACCTGTTCCTGTAATATACATGTATGAGGGATCCACAGTGAGCAGTGTATGCAGGTAGCTCAAAGTTACTGTTATTTCATCTGATTGATAGAAGCCTCTCTGTTCAGCGACAGACAGAGTCATATCAGAGCTGTATTCGTTACTGCTAATACAACCGAAGAACTACAGTGTGACTGGATCATTTTTTATTCTTTACAAGCGGGTAATGGAACAAGAAGCAGCAGATCTGTAACTCCTCTGTAGGGTTTTTTTCATTTTCATATTCATGTCAGTGTGTACCTTCATGTCATTGATATGGAGGTACTCTTCGATGATGGCTGTAGACTTCTTGTTCAGTTCTTCCTCGGTCAAGGCAGGCTTGGTGGGGGTCTGGGGAGGTGGTGGGGTGGCAGCCGTCTCCCGCTTGGCTGTTTACACACAAAACAAAGAAGGAATTGAAATTCTACACTAGAAACCTGAATTCATTATTTAAATTATTATTATTATTTTTTTTTTAGCAAAAACAAAAACAAAAGTATATATTATGTAAATGTTCCCGTTGTAGAAGTAGAAGTGTAGTATGTAGGTCAGAGTTCATTAGACGTCTAATAAAACGTTACTTTGGTGTGGATAATGTTTTTTGTGCCAACATTCCCTTTCTTTTGGGGAATTCCAAAAAATGACTGCGTTACCAGAGAGAGAATTTTATTCTTAACGCGGTAGAATTTTTTTATTTCAGCTTTCAAAATGCAATTTAAATCTATACTACCGCTACGTCATGCCACCTACCATTCTCTTTGCTCCTGGCTCTCTCTCTGCTGCCTCTATCTCTATCGTCCGTCATGCTCGCTACTCGGCGGACAGGGTCGGCTGACCCACGCTGCTCTCTCTCCCGGCACCGTTCTTCATTCTCTCGACTGAAGCTGCGCTTGGTGACCTGCAGCCGGTTTCGATCACGGTCGTCCCGTCGCTCATCCCGTCTGTCAAACCGGTCGCTGCCGCGATTAGACCGGTCGAAGTTATCACCGCGCTCTCGACTTGAGCTGTTTCTGTAGCAACAGAAAGACAAAGTCTCAAAAACAACACACACACACACACACAAAAACTGTCGCAAAGATTGCGTCTGAATACACCCAGATGGCTTCGAGAATTGTATCCTGTTCCTCACCTCTGAGGGACTCTTCTGTCTGAGTCAAGTGAAGGGCCTGAGGAGGACGAAGGCTGCTGTAAGGCTGAGAACCTGTTCAGAGTGCTGGTAGCTGGACGGCCGCCTGACTCTGAGCCTGGAGATAGAAAATACACACATAGCACTTGTTGAGTTTCAATTATGAGGTGCTTGACTAGTTACTAGGTACTATATTTGTTGTATAACCACATCAGTCTGAGAAACCTACCAGAATCTGCAGGTTTGGCGCTGGTGCCACCGCTGCTTCCCTTTCCCCAGCTCCCCCATGTACCTTTGCCTCCTGGGGCAAGCAACTGATTGTTGAAGTCAAGAACAGGAGTCTGAAAGAAGAGACTGTTGGTTAAAAACACGCTTCCTGCTAAAACTACGAACAGGATACCATCCAGCTGATTAACGCCAGGTGAAAAGCGGGCTTTCTCCCCTACCTTAGTGATTTTGCTAAGGCGAGAGGTGTCAATAGGTCGGTTCTTGGAAATGGGCACTGTATTCCACCCCTCATCCTGGGGAGGAGCACCACGGCCTGGGGTGTGAGGGCCCCCGCGACCGCCCTGACCTCCTCCGCCCATCCTGCCTCCCTGGCCGCCACCCGACTCCTTCTTGGAGACAAGGGCTTGCTGCACCTTCATATGCTCCCTGTGCTCCTCAAGCTCAGCCTCTTTGTGGATTTGGTCGATGGTCTTGGGACCCTGGTCGCCTCGCCGGGGAACCCAGTTGTTCTAGGATGGTGTAGAGGAAGAGATTGTGAGACTAGTCGTGCTAACCTAATTGTACTGAAGTATTTTTCATTATGACTGATGACACAAAGGAATCTAGGTGTATTAACGCTGGCACTGGATAGCTATTATGACTATGGTGTTTGTAGGAGAGACTAGAATCGACAGGGATCAAGATTCTAGTGATTCTTAACTCTGCGCTTCAGCCTTTGACTAGAAAGGAAATAAAGTGTGTTTCACAGTTAAATTGGGTCAATGTGCTGACTTGAAGCAGCTGATTTTGGCTTGTAAAAACACTGAAGACAGCAGGTTTTGTAACAGTGTGTGGGCGGGACAGAGAGCCTAACTACAGGACTGCAGCATTCCTTCAGAAAAATAAGCCTAACACTAGAGAGAACTGGCACTATACTGGAAATCTCTATTACTTATTTCCATACTCTATGAGGTGAATTAACATGCTACTACTAAGAAGAGATGATGGAGTTTGTGTGGAACGGTCTATGGCACAGAGCAGCTGCATTAAAGAGCTGAGGAGGACATTTCTTTCTTAGCCCATATATGAGACTCGAGCCCAGGACTAAAGGACCAGTCCGGGTGTCTCTGAGGATGTTGTACAGCACCACAGTCACAGAAAATGCCACTTTAAGGATAGTTTAGAATAGTTTTCTGTCTACACTCATGTGAAAACAAGAAAAAAAAAAAAGAGGGCAGAAATGAAAGGAATAGATTTAGCTAACTTAACACACACAGACAGCCCTACAAACAGAAACTATCATGGAAGTTTAACTCTAGGTGCTCAAACACAGAAAGTATAAAGAAGCTCTAGAACATATAGAACATGCTAAATATAAAAATAAAAAGGAAATTATTTAACTTTGGTGAACACTGATCCTTGTTTGATGATCAGTGAAGTGACTAAGGCATTGATTCAGTGGGTTTCCAAGTAATACGGTGCAATGGGTTTGATAATATATTTGACTGTTAACAGTCTGGCATAAAAACAAAACATTCAGTGCTGACTGCTGCTGATATGGAAATAGTAAGTGAAAATGTGGTGACAGTTCTTATATTGGATGTCTGACCAGAGATATTCTGACATCAAGACTCGACAGTGCGGTGGGTTTTGGACTGCTGGCTCTGCTTACAACCACTTTCCTTGTGTTGTTATAAACAGCTGAAAGGCTCCAATCCATGTATGCAAAGTATCACACCTGTAGTGTATATGTGTGTGTTTCTGCTTTACCCGTCGAAGGTCCAGCACATCCTGCAACATGAAGCGGATCCTGGAGCTCGTCTTCTTCTCCTTTATGATTTTCTCCATCTGATTGAAGTACTGGTCCATACGAGGCTGAGGACAACCACAACAGATTGGTGAGTCTATGTCCTGGACTTCAGTTCCAATTAAAACTTGATGTAAGTACAGATTTATGGGCATTGGATATGTGCATCTAACCATGTATTTGTGTGTGCAGGTGTGTGTGTTGTACCTTGGCCTTCTCAAAGTCTAGGTCCTTCCCGATGGTGGACAACAGTCTGCACAGGCACTCCAGGGACTCCTCGTCATGGTTTTTGAGCAGCTTTACAATGCAGTCATGCATGATGACCTCTGTGAGCATTTTAAGTTTGAACAGCTCACCGATGAACTTGATGTTGCCCAGTGAGCGCCTCCTGGCTTTGTCTTTACAGTCTTGTAGCTCATCAATGAGCCGCTGCTTCACCTCCTGCCAGAGAAACAGAGTCACATAAAAAGTGATGAAAAAACAAAAAGGAAATTGTTGAGGAGGACAGTAACTTTTGTGAGGCGGTATTATACCTCCGAGGCAGCTTCCAGCTCTTTCTGCTTCTTCTCAAATATCTCGTCATCATCTTTATCCTTTTCAAACTCCTTCTGGCATCGATTTAGCAGCAGCTTGCGGAAATTCACAGTGACTCCCGGCTTATCTGTGGTTTGGACTTTAAGCTAAATAGAGCAAAGAAAATGTACATTTAAAAAAAGGAGCAGGAACAGCAGGGTGTACAGTTATGTACTTTAAGTCACTCTTCAATCCCATCACTAAGATCAGTGGCCCAGAAACGTGGCACTATTTTAAAGTCATTCAAGAGACATTTGTAAAGTAGGACTGCCAGTGAACACATGACAAGCTGTTTTACTTTTTGTAAAGTGTTTTCAGGTTATTGATATATTTGTGAAGTGCTCTGAATTCTAAATTTATCATAAAAATACTTCCACTACTTCCATATGCTTCTTTATTAAACCCAATTTAAAAAGGTCCCATGTGTAGGATTTGGAGGATTAGAGGTTATAATGATATAACAAGGAGTTACTGATAAGTTCAATCAGCAAATAATTATTATCTATCTACTATTATCCTCCCCTTGGAGCAACTACTGGTCATTGTGTCACAGAGTGAGTTGGTCACATTACGAGAGTTTTGCATTAAGGGGAGTTTCTGCTGTTTTGGAGCCCCATCTCCAATCATCTTTAGTACATAAATATCTGTCAGCCAGTGAAAAATAACTGGTGAGTCTGAAAAATTCAGAGTCAGAGAAGCTTTCAAAAGCTTGACAGGAGAATGTGAGTATGTGACACAATGAAACAATTAGCTGCACTTACTTAAAACATACTTGGACAAGCTAAATTAATATGGAACTCATGATCAGGTTAAAATAGTCTGAGGTTTGTAAGCATCATCAGGAGGGCTTATGTCTTTTATATGACCAATAAAAAGTACTTAGTTTATCATTTAACACCTCATATCATATCAACAACACACAACTGTGCTCCTTTAACCACAACAGTCCTAGAGTAAACACATATTTCCATACTGTGTGTGGCAACACTTACCCCCATAAGGCAGCGGCACATGTTGGCATAGGCCACCGAAAAGTCTGGCTCGGAAATGGCCTTTTCGAAGGTAAGATCTATGACTCCTTTCAATCTCTCCTCAGTGTCAATAGTCAGTTCCGTCACCTGTTTCATTAGCTGTTGAAACTTTTGGGGGGTCAGTTTGTTCAGGATGCTGCGAACCCGTTTAAACAGCTCCTGTGTCTTTATTTGCTCCGGATCGTTCTCCTCAGCTTCCTCTCCACTGCGGCTGCGAACAGCTTTTTTTGTTGAAGGTTTCCACGCCTTTTCTGCCTTATTCAGCTGCACGTCTTCACTGAGTGACACGGTGGTGAGGATTTTCCTTAGGTCTTTCCTCTGGATCTGCTGAGAGCGACGTGGCCCACCAACTCCGATGCCCATACCAGGAGGCTGTGAGGAGAGAGAGGAGACAGAGTAGGAAGACGAGGAAGGAACAGAGATGTCATTTCATTCACAGGCTATGAACTTCAAGTGCAGAGCTCTTAGGATCAAATTAAGAAAATGTTAACTTACTGGTCCTCTGCTTCCTCCTCCTCCTCCTCCTCCTCCTCCTCCTCCTCCTCCTCCTCCTCCCATGCCGGGCCTGCCGAGGTTGGCAAAGGAGGGTGTAAAGTCGGGGCCACAGTTCATTCCTGGTAGACGACTGGGGTCCAGTTGACGCAAAGGTGTCTTATTAGCCTTAAACAACAGAAATGAACATCACAATGAAAACTTTACTTGTATATTATTGATAAAAACCGGACTCATAAGAAGGACAGATTGTCAACAGCAATGGAGGGTTATCATATTTATACAGAACAATTTAAACTACATGACAAAAAAAGAGAAATTATTTAAGGCCAAAAGTATGGCCATGTCTTTAGTGCGAGAGGTTGCACCTTGTCTAGGACAACATCACTGATGGCTGGTAGACCCTCAGGCTTGTTCATGCTGGCTGAGATGAACTGGAAGCCCAGAAGAAACTCTCTGTCATACTGCTTCTTCTCCTCTGGGTTGATTGGCTTCCATTGTTCTGAAAGAGGAACCCAAACAGTAAAGTTACACTTCCCTAGTATCAACTAGGAATTAAACCAGGACATAAAGTCATAGACACAATGCTCCCAACACCACTAGTTGTATAGTATAAATGTAGATGTTGTCATGCCTCATAATGTCCACAAGGTGGCATATAGGCTAGCAAATGAATGAATGAATGAATGAATGAATGAATAAATTAATGGGTACTGCAGTCTATAGTGTATGTGATCTGTGCTTTGTGTAACACAAACATCTGTGGATATATTTAAGAGGTAGTATTTAATGAACTTCAACAAAGCTGCTTAAATGATTTATTTACTGTTTTTTTGTTGAATTTATATAATAGAAAAAAGAAGTAAAGCAAAGGGTCATGACCTACAAGTTAAAAAATCACAGCTTCTTGTTCAAATATAATGCGTTGCCATCATATAACTATCATTTTCCAGTAAACACTCATATCAACAGAAGCACAATCAGGTAGAATGCCACTCCCTAATTTTCAACAAAGCAAATGTAAACGTAGCCAGCTGCCACATTGCTGACTCGTGAACGTACGTGAGATAAGAGCATTATTCACGCAGAATTGCCGGCACGAGGCACTGAAAGGTATCAAGGTTCAGAGACCCACCCTCTTTGTACTGGTACTTCTTGTCGGTCGGCGAATCTGGCTGAATGTTCTCAGCATCCAGCTTGTCCTCCTTGTCCTCCTTGTCCTCCCAGGTCAGGTCCGCCTCCTCTGAGGCAGGAGGGGAAGCAGCAGGGGGCTGGGTCTCTGGTGCTGGGGCAGGGGCTGGCTCGGGCTCTGGTGTGGCCACGACCTGCTCCTGGTTCAAAGATGTGAGAGGGGATTGGTCAGTGAGACTGAAATTTTAGAATGGATAAGATATGTTAAATGAAACCACGCTGCAGGGCTATATTCAAATTCAGAAAGAGAGAAGCCACTTTTCTCACTGGACTGACGTTTAGGTGTTGATTTGAATCATACAAGGAGTTAAGGCTTAAATTTGTCTTTGCCAGTGTTAACGGGTTTGGAGTTACTGATGGCCCATGAATAAATGCATTACTGCACACACACCTCTTTAAAGGCATCAAGGAGGTCTCCCACTGTCTGCTTTTTGTTCAGTTCCTTCATCTTCCTCTTTTTCTTTTGCACAAACGTAGCAGCTACAGGAAGACAAAAACAATCAGCCTCCCTCAGATGAGCAAAAACATATCTGTCAAAGCAGTCTTTATTAATGATGGAGATTATAATTCTAAAATATAGTAAAATAGTTATAACATGTTGTAGTTAACTGACGTTGCATAGTCGTTTCAACAAGGACAGGTGTGACTGTCTGGGGAGGAGGAGTGTCCTCCCTTTCCTCTGCTGTGGGAGGGGGAGGAGTCGGCACTGTTTCTGGGTCGCTGTCAGCTATTGAAACCATCTCTGCGGGAGATGGCTTCTCTTCCTTGGCGCTGGACTGGGGCACTGGGATATCTTCCTCGGCATCCAGGGTGACAGGAGGAATCGCGTCTTGCACCTCAGGTTGTGTGGGTGCTGCCTGGGTGACTGGAGCAGCAGGAATCTCCTGGACAGTGGGTGCAGGCTGGTCAGTGGGTGCAGGCTGGTCAGTGGGTGCAGGTGTTGCTTGGACGACGGGTGCGGGTGTTGCCTGGACGACGGGTGCGGGCGTGGCTTGGACGACGGGTGCGGGCGTGGCTTGGACAACGGGTGCGGGCGTTGCTTGGACAACGGGTGCGGGCGTTGCTTGGACAACGGGTGCGGGCGTGGCTTGGACAACGGGTGCGGGCGTGGCTTGGACAACGGGTGCGGGCGTGGCTTGGACAACGGGTGCGGGCGTGGCTTGGACAACGGGTGCAGGCATTGCTTGGACAACGGGTGCGGGCGTGGCTTGGACAACGGGTGTGGGCGTGGCTTGGACAACGGGTGTGGGCACTGCCTGACTGATGGCTGCAGAGGTCTGTACGACAGACTGCTGGCTAATGTCAGGTTCAGCGATGGGGCTGTCGTCACGCTCGGCTGTACTGATGGCAGGCACCTCAGGGTCTTGTGGGGCCGGCAGTGGCAGGCCATTGGGGAGGCGGAGCTCCTCGGGCTGTGCAATGGGAGACTCCAGAGGGGCATCCAGGTGACTGTGTGGCAACACGACTGACAGCCTTTCTGGCTCCACCTCTGCGACACCGTTAGTGGTGGAGGGAGGTGCGAGGGGTGTGTCCGAAAAGGCAGCTGCGTCTTCTACTTTAGCCTCCCCCTCCTTTGACTCTGTGGCTTTCTTGTCCGTTTTGTCTTTTGCAGCAGAGGAGGGGACAGGGTCAGGGAGCGGTGCGGGGTAGGCGGGCACCTCAGGCGCAGATTTAGGCGGTGGGGTGGGTTCCTTGGGAAGTGGGGGAGCATCCATCACATCTGCAACAGGAGGGCTTGGTGCAAGTGTGGAAATAGTGTCGAGAGGTGTGTCCTCTGCTTCTGATAGTAGAGGGGGCGATGGGGGCTTAGTGTTCGTGTCAGAGGAGGTAGCCTCAGTGTGGATGGGGTCACTCTTAGCAAGTTCAGGGGTCTTTGACAGAGGCGGGGGCGTAGGTTTGCCTCTATCATCTGGAAGGTAAGAAAAAAAAATGACTTCACTGTTCAGTTCATGTATTATGTTTTCACAATCTACACTTGTCTGTCCCTCCATATATGGACCACCACAACATCAAAGGTGTTCATGAAGACTTTACAGACATGGGACCACATTCACCAAACACCCATAGCTTCAAACAGGCTGATTTCATAGAAACAAAATATGATGTAACTACCCCCCTCCTGCTACATTGCCCAACCACATACTTATTTCAAGCCATCCATTTCCTGAACAAAAAAAATCTGCTTTAAATCACATTGGATCGGATTCTTCAAACAGTCCTCAGTCCAGTCCACCTGTAATCAGGCGACTAATCTTAAGATGTATGACACTGAGATAAAGAAAATATACAGTAAGTTGCATTAACTGTTTGTATTATAACAGTAGAACATCTTCTCAAGTGCTGTTGAATATAAGCAGAATTTAAGCTCTTTAGATGCCACATTGTCTGATAATTCATTTCCTTGAACTAAGCTGCCTTCATGGTTATAATTGGACTAGCGGGTGTAGTCACCCCTACAGAAGAAAAACACATCCAAATGATTGCATGGTCAACAGATAAAGACACATTTATCAACCAGAACACATGTATTAACTTCATCAACGGACAGGACAATGGGTGCAGGTGTTGCACCTAATATCAAGGGACATAGTTGATATTGTCCAGGTTGAACTCATGACTCCCTTATTATGCAGAGGCTGCTGTCTGACTTCCACTACTATTGACTATTCACCAATTAAAGTAGTAAGTAAGCTAAATTATGACACATGAGGTCATACATAGCAACAAGATCAACCCCAGCCTTTCTCTTAGTTTACAGCTCCATATCTCAGTAAAACTTGCTCTTAACAGCAAATTGATCTAAGAAGATGAAGCCATTTGTCTCATTTTTACACAATAAGATTAAATTCAGTAAGAATACTGCTGCCCAAGCTGAATTTAAGATATAATAAAAGGCTAAATGAAAGCTAATGATAGCTTAGAAAACGCAAAGAGGAACATTATTGCTGTTATTATTATTATTAGCATTATCTTAAAGTACTTATGCAGCAAAATAACCAGCCACTGAAATAGTAAGCTCTTCAATAAAGTGTTTATAAACATGCCTTGGTTCTGTATAGGTCCCCATATACCAAAAAAACAAACAAAAGCTTGTAATAAGCCAGGCAAATATTAGTAGCTAATGTAAAATATGAACAATATAACTTTGTGAAACTTTGACTCATGTGGCACTCACCTGGTCGAACCACTGCCGGTGTAGCAGCAGCTGTGACGCTCTCACCGTTGGCCTGGGCCACTGCTGTACTTTCTGATCCAGATACAGCTGACTATTAGGAGACCAAAAGGTAAAGTCTGACCTTAGTTGGTGAGGGCAACACTCATTTTTCCACATGACTAGAAAAAAAGTTTAATGTTGGCTATATGAGCCGAACATCAGGACTCTAAGAGCAAATCATAGATCAGTTTGAGTTTGACAGGTTGTAGTGCAACACGTTTATGAGCACACACTTTCTGCAGCATTCCCCATAAAGTAGTAACATATGGACAGCACAGGCAAACAAATTCTTGTTTTAAATCTATTTGACATGCTATAATAGACAAGCCTTATATTTGCACAGTAGAAACACAGGACTATATATTTTTAATATGGATCCCCAGATAACAGCAGCTGTTACCAGCTAAAAACCATGGACTGTATAAACATATATATATATATATAAAGTAAAAAGTAACTGTATATACAGTCTATGATAACAACTAATGGGGTCCCAAATAAACACTAAACAAAAAACGTAATGTTCCCATGCACTGAAAGCATGTTGGGGAACTACACCAACCCTAATAAATTGCTATGAGTGTTAGTAAATCACAAAACTTGAATTGTACAATTTGCATGAGAGAATTAAGTACCATAGGTGTCTAAAAATAAAACTAAACCCCTAACAGTGTGCTAGTATGTTTGCTCTGCCGACTGTCTTTGGTGTTGTAGCTCACCTGTGGTGGGGTTGGGGTAGAGCCGCTTCGGCCCCCTGACATAATCTCCTCTGTAATGTCTCGACCTCCTTGGTTAGGGTCTCTTATTCTGATCTATGGAGGAGAGGAAAGAGATCCACTGTCAGGGTTAGAATACAAATGATGACAGGAAGGACAGGGTAGAAGAAACAAATCTGTATGTGAAGGGAAGAGACCTGACTGTAAATGAAGAAGCGTACGGAGAAAAGTAAAGGGTTAAAATGTTTCAGGGTGAGGACAGCAGCATGTAAGAAAAGAGCCTTCCCATGATGCAAAGCCTACCGTGGTCAGCCTTTTCGGTGCGTATGACTCGCTAGCTGCCTCGCATTCAATGAAAGCTACATTTCTCACATTGTGAACACTGAGGCACACCAAATCCAAAAAACTAACCGCCACGCAAATTCCTCTGCTGTACAGCAGAATGTGCTTCAGCTTGTTAGTCACCACTGAAGCTGTTAAACTGAGCGAGAATCAAGTTAACCAACTTCAAGACAAATTGTCAAACAAATTCCACTGCTGCCGTTTAAGTTGTTATGAAAATGCCTGACTCTCATGAAGGCAATTCACAACCAGGCAGACACATAACACTCAGGCACAAGGAGAAAAAAAACAAGTAAAAATCAGATAAATCGCTCAAATGCCCATACATTACAAATGCATGCTTTCTATTCAGCACTCTTTTTTCTCTCACTCACACTCTAAATACTTACTCTAGGAAGTCAGAGCTGTCATGAAACTGGTGTGAGCAAGAAAGCTACTAAATAAAGTGACGCACACAGTCACTGCATGAGGATTAAACTGTAAAAGTTAACAGTGAGCTGCTAAAATACTGCTGCTCTCTGGCCTACTTTTGACTTTAAGAACAACAATATTTGCTTGTTGCTAGTGACCTTTACCTGGTTCAGTCCGTCAGCAACTCCTCTCCCGGAGGACTGCAAACCCTAGCGGGCCTCTCTCATCCTGGGGCTGGAGTAGTCGTTCCAGCGGACTTGGGGTTGGACTTAAAACCCCACACAGCAGGATGGTGGGTGGACGTAGCCAGCGTAGTTTTACCTCAGCTTAACTCGCACACATCCAGGCTGTGATAGAGAGCTACACACCGGCAGAACAGGACAGAGCAGGGCTGGGCCTGACTGTCAGTAAGCTAGCTAGCAACTTGACTCACTCTCTCCCTCTCTCATAACCCGAACAGAACAGGGAGGGGTGGGGGGGAAAGGATAAAGCGACTGGCCTTGTAAAGCTATGGTATTGGAATGCACAAGCCCGCCCACAAAGACTAACAGACAGTTAAAGGGGCCGGAGGGGCAGGGTAAAGGGGAGGGGGGGTGGGAGGTTTTCCAGGAAAAAAAAAGTTATCCTTATCAAATGAGCTGGCGCTAGCAGAAGAAACTCCCCCTTTTCCTCATTCTCTCTGTCTGCCTGGTCATCCTGCACACTCAAGTTGCTCCTGAGATTTTTTTTTCATGCTCAACCCCTTCTGAGAGCAGAGGAAACCAGGAGGAGGAGGAGGAGGAGGAGGAGGAGGAGGAGGAGGAGGAGGAGGACGAGGAGGAGCAGGGGGTGCCACAGCAGCAGAGGAAGGCTGGTTGGATAGCCCTTCCGGCTCAAAAGGGGGAGGAGACCGGTGGCCACGTGGAGCTGAGCTATGTGCTGACATGTCCTTCACCCCCTCCCCTCTAGATTTTCTCTTTGACACAGAGGGAGAGCAAGAGAGTAGAAAAGTAGAAAAAGGGCAATTTGCAAAAGGCCAAAAAAAAAGAAAAGAAAAAGTAAATGGTAGAAATGAAAAACAAGACAGTATAGGCTAGAAAACACCTGAATACTAATTTTAAGAACCAGAAAGTTCAAACACACACACACACACACACACACACTTTCTCTATGTGACCTGCATACAACTACATAAAGGAGGGTGTGTACCTTGCGGTTGCACATACACTGCCCTGTAAATGGAAGGCCACAGATTACCCACAGAGGGCTCTAGCTTGTGTTCTGTTGACAGACACCAAACCTCTAGCTGCTCTCTCAAAGTGCATCATTCCCAAAAAGCAAGAATGCAAAGCTTGTGGTGTGTACTTATGCACGCACATACACACAGACATACACAAAAGCCTTTACATACAATCTTATGCCTAACATCACTCACTCAAGTCATCTGTCATCTTAAGTTTTACATTGAGAGCTTTGCATTTTGTGTGGATTTGTGTCACGAAGACAGTGCAGGGCCTTAAAGCAAACGTTGTAGCACCGGCTGGGGCCCATGGGAATGTGCCAAAGTCCACCCCAGGCAACCACAGTTGCTGATAAGCAGCCAAGTTCCAGAGAGAGAGGGACCAGACATCATGCAAGTCTTGTGGCAAAAGAACAGAGTCCCAGCATTTAACACTAAAAGGCATTTCCTGGTAATACTGATAACAGCTTAAAGCATTTACACTATACGAATATGAATATTAATATATGAAAGGTTCTACATAGAAACTACAAACGATGTCATCATATTTCTTTCAACAAAGCATACACTGGATTTGGGAAGTTTAATCAGATAAAGACAAACAGAAAAGTTACCCAAACACACAAAAAGGTTCAAGCTAGCCAAAACTAGATTCACAGTCACACAGACAAAGTTGATGAACAGCGCATGAAGGAAAAACCATTCACTGTTCACGTTTGTGCTTCTCCTGTTACTACGAATTTTTACACTTGAGACTTTGGACAGCTGTTTCAGAGTATATACCTTTGCTTTTCTCAAAGATCAATATTCAAAAACCATAATGTCTAAAACAAGATGACCAAGGAGATTAGGTCACTTTGGCTGCAATCTTTGGTTGAATGAAGATAAAGTTACACCTAGAAGTTACACCTTGTGAAACAGGTTTAAAAAACAACTCAACAGTGAAAGAGAGACTAAATATTTTTCCTGTTAATTGGATAAAAGAGTCTTGGAGGATTCTGGAAAGTCTAAAAATTCTCGAATGCAACCGGCATCACAGAAGTCTCAAAAGTAAAAAACCATGATTATATGAGAGGCACAAACTGGGGCTAGAGTTCACAGAGAGCTACCACATACCAGGCGAGGGCCATCTTAGAAAGCAAAGGAAACACTAGACATACTGTAGAACTTGGGCAATATGTCATACGGCAGCTTAGTTTTACATCACACTAAGTTAAGGTCCTGCTCACTACTATCTGTGCCAATCAGTAAACTGAACTCCATGTTGAGACTCAAGAATGATTCTAGAATGATCTTCAGAAAGATTGCAACACCATTGACTAGCTGGGTTGTTCATACTACTGCAAAAGGAGTTGTTAAATGAACGACTCTTACACTAAAGTGGTCAATCCGAAACACTTATCTTCCACATGCCACATTTCCTTTGATGCCTACAGTGACATTCAGAAAATTATCAATCTGTACAGTTTTAACCAACCAACCAACCAACCAACCAAACTCTGCCTGGCTGACATTCATAACAATGGTTACAATCATGTATTTTGGCCCATTAATAAACACTGGGGGGGGAGGATCAAACTTGATGCAGCAGCATCATAGATATAATTTGTGTCTTTCACACTGCCAACTACTACTCTATTACCCTCAAAGCAACTCAGCCAGTTCAGTCAGAAATTCAGGTGTGTTATGCAAGTAGCCTTCGAGGTGCTAGCCTCAAGCAGAGATGAGAAGTGGGCAACTGAGGTCTGGTAAGCTCAATTCTTTTTACTCCACACCTCCAGATTTTTTTATTTTTCAAACTTTATTGTCTTCAGACCCAACTGACACGTATCAGACTTCACACAGCTCCCTCTGGAGCGACAGAAAGCAACCTAGTAGTTTGACCAACCTAAACTAAAACAACAAAAGTGGACAGATTTTATATTGTTTAAAGCTCTATTCAAAAATGCTAATATAAATTGAGTCAAATTTAGTTTGTAGAAACAACAGTTTTGATCAACATGAGGATAAGTTGTCAATAGCTATATTAAGGGACACTTCATAGCACACTTTACCTAAATGTATCTTTGCTCCTCACTGACTTCTCACTCAGTTTAAAAGTTTAAAGATGAGAATGACAGTTGTGTATACCTGGATGTATTAGTGTCTTGCATGCAATCATGCATGTATCATGTATGCAGTCGACAGGAAGAGACTTGACAAACTAATTAAGAAGGCCAGCTCTGTCCTGGGTTGCCCCCTCGACTCAGTGCAGGTGGTGGGAGAGAGGAGGATAATAGCAAAGCTATCATCACTAATGGACAATGTCTCCTACCCCATGCAAGACACCATCACTACGCTGAGCAGCTCCTTCAGTAACAGACTCCTTCACCCCAAGTGTGTGAAGGAGAGATATCGTAGGTCCTTCCTTCCTGCTGCTGTCTGACTGTATAACAACCAGCACTGCTCCCAGTAGACCCCCACCCCCCCCAATCTCGGCATCAATAATAATAATTAATGTTTATATATAATATTTATATATAATAACAATGTGCAATAATTACTGTGCAATAATAATAATAATAATAATAATAATAATTACTGTGCAATACCATTCCATATTCACTGTGCAATCTATTGCCCATGTGCAACTGCTGCTGCTACTATTTGTGTTATTTGTGTTATCTGTTGTTGTGGATTTCTTACTGTTTTTTCTCTTGTACAGTGTTTTTATTTGTTATTTCCTACTCTTACTGTTTTTTTCTCTATCCACTTTGCTGCTGTAACATTGGAATTTCCCCATTGTGGGACAAATAAAGGAATATCTTATCTTATGCATTCAATACAGTACATAGCAATGCTGAAACCTTTTTCCATCATTCGATTTGTCTCTAAGTTTGCAGTATCACCAAGATGTATGTGTAGATGTCGCAGATAGGTCTAAAATTATCAGAGGAAGCTTGAGTTTATTACACAGTAGCTGTGTGGGGCTGGACTTTTCTCAAGAGCAGAAAACACACATATAATGTAATCAAATGGAAATAACCTAAAATAATACCGCCAGTTAAAACACCTGATGTACACTGATAAACAGATCTTGTCCAAACAGGGCTGATAACAAACTTTTCCATTTTAGGGGAACTGTTCTTTCAAGTCTGTATTACTTTCCTATTAACATTATCATTAATTCTGCTGATGTTAGTATATGTATCATTAGTAGGCAATATGGAAATGCTGAGTCAGACAGCCATTCTCGGTAAGCCTTTTCAAAGTGCAAGACGTTTTGTGACTGTACCTGTTTACGTTCCCTTTTGGTGGGGATGTGTTGGGGAGGCTGAGGTGGTGGTTGCTGCTGTTGAGGGGCAGGGTTCATAATGACGGGTGCCGGCTGCACTGGGGGGGTGTACTGAGGCTGGGCGGGGTAGTAGGCCCCTGTAGTGGATCAGACAGAGAGAAGAATGTAAACCAACAGATAGTGACTTAATCCTATAACCATAACTTGGCACAAACACATCAGCCAACACACACACGTACATGGTTAACAGTACACAGCTAATGTTTACACAACAACATTATAGTCTATACTGGTAATGTTCTGAAAGTCCTGTTAGGCTGCTCTGAGGCAGTTAGAAAAGCTGCATCTAAAATGTGAAGGTTTGATTTCTTCCTGATTTATAGTGCAGCAGCTGCAGTTTTATGTCCACAGAACATATAATGAGGTAACTGCACCTTCTTAAAGTCTTCTCACTGCCATGTGAGGGTGTGTTACACTTTAGGCATCCATCAAATGCTTGAGAAAGAACAATGTACAATCTCATTAAACTTCACTTCTTAGATTACAAAATACATTTTTTTTTTTTAAGTAAATACATTAGAGGATATTTCTGTGGACACTGTAGAGACACCTTACAGGTGAGAGCTTGTAAAGTTAGGGAGTAAATCCTTTCAGCTCTACACTTGTACACGTGTGATTTTGTAGCCTATGTTCCCATGCAGTCTGAGTAACTGGTGACTGACATCAGCTGATTGCAATTTAACATTTTGAAAAAATACCACAGCCTCCAACTGCTTCTTTTCAAGCAGGCTCTTTTTTTTTTCTAACCCTAACCCTGCCTACACATCTTCAGATAGCTGCAAGTTGCCCTCAATCCTGATGGTTCCAGAAATCTACTTGAACAGACATCACTGCCTCAAATCTGCTTCTAATTGTACCTTTCCACTGACTTTGTATGCTTTTGTGCTATCTGAAAATCTCCCTTCTTGTTGTATCTGAATGCAAGTTAACAGAAGCAGACAGAAGTAACTGGAAGCCCTCACATGTAGGCCTTCAGACCATGACACAGCAGTCTCTCCCTCCACCCAGCCCTGCATTGGTGTCCCCATTTCTTAAGGCCATGGATGTTTATCACATTCACAAATTTGTCAAGAAAGCTGCCACCAACATGACCAAGAAAAATAGGTTTCAAGTTCAAAGAACCTCCATTAGCCTAATCGGTCAATAATATCAACAAGACCAAGCATTCAGTGATATTACCTGGCCTTGTACAGTAAATGGCCTCGACTACAGTTCAGAACCAGTTGTAGCCCACTTTCAAAGGACAGGGGTAAAAAAAAATCCTCAGGTTGAAGAGGCCTCCCTTTCAGACCGGCAGTAGCTAGCTCCTGCTCTGCCTCTCTCCCCTTTCAGGCATTTCAGTCTAACTCACATTACTGAGTCTGCATTGTTGACCAGGAGCAGCACAGCCTAAATATAGTCAAAACCCCACACCGGCTGGGGGAAGAGAGGGAAGACAGACATAGCGAGAAGGACGGAGAGAGGGAGAATGGGAGCATGCTCAAAACCCAAAACCCAGATTGAGACTTTTCTTGGACAGTGTCCCGATGTAAATAAGAGGACTGAGATATGACTCACTAAGTGCAACAGACTGAGACAACAAATGGGAAGGGGGCTGCAAAGAGACGCTTTATCTAGAAGACACCTACCCTCAGAGTCCTTCTGCTCTTGAGACCCACGGTTCCCCATGCTGAATGCAAAATCTGCGTATGGGCAGAAAAAGGAGAGGGGGTTTCTTCTTCAAACCCCCTCTCTAACTTCTTCCTGTCCTCTCTACAGGTGCCCTCTCAGAATGACTTCTTTTAATGCTCAGCCCTCCCCTCTTCCAGCGTGTCTGCATTTTGCTCCTCCCTCTGACCTTCCTGATTCCTCCCTGCCTTTCACTTTTTTCCACCTTCCTCCCTCCCTTTCCCTTTCCCCCCTCTAGGGAGTACTGGCAGGCAAGCAAAGCTATTTAGTTGTGTCATTCAGTTTGGCCCTGTTTGCCTGAAGACTCCCCTATCTCTCTGCTCTGGACAAGTGATCTGATTCATGCTGGCAAAGATGTCAACAACAACCTACTACAAAGGGGGTGGGGCTGTGTGTATGTACATGTATGAAGGAACAGTTAAGCAAATCACTCGTCTTGGGGGGCGGGAGTCTTAAAAATAGTCACTGTACTCTGTCAGCTCTGTGTATGTGTGTGTGTCTCTATGTGACTGCTAGAAAAGGACTCAGTGGTTAGAGAGACTGCACCACTTAGAGGTCCAGAGGGGGTGCTGGACTGATCTTCTGGGATTGTTACTATGCTCATTACAGAACTTTATGATGGGCATTATAGGTCCTTAAGGCAAAAAGCCTAATCATATCCAGATAGCCAGTATACCTGTATCACTGCCTTTCCTCTGACCTGGTGGAAATCTGCAGCAGCCCTCGAAAACCCCTGCACTTTCAAAGCCAGTATCGTGGTCAAGCCCATAAGAGAGTGGAGTTCGAGAGCCATGTCTCAATGTCACATGACCAGTTATTTAGGGTCATATGCCAACCTCATATCATGACATACCATGTGACTTTCAAAATGACCAATGTGACACACCCGCCAACATAAACACATGGGACGCTATGTCCTGTGACGTCATACAAATATCTGGCATAAATAACCCTCTGACAGTAGCCTGCTATTGAGAGAGTAAGTAATCTTGACAACAAATAGAAATCTATTATATTAGCACTAAGCCTGGCAGAGTCACATCAATAAACATAACAAAAATATAAGATATACCACTAAGATATGAAGAAAAGGCAGCAAGTATTTCAGAGGTGATTCATTGTTCTCCAATTAGCATTTCCTGTTTATGTGCAGCCTGTCAGTCAAAAGTATAGATCCAGAAGGGTTCCCATTGGGCTTAAACTGCTGGGGGTTTTCAATAGCACATTTTTACAATTTATGATAGTTAAAAAAAGACATATTAGGGATTTGGGTTTTCCCCAGAGCAGCAGTGTTCAGATCATACATTTACACTACAGATGTATTTGCAACTAAGCAATTCAATTTTATCCACAGTCTAGAGCAGTTATTTATTTCCTATTGTAAATGATGCGGTTCACACAGATGAACCCTGAGAACATGGACCGTGGTATGGGATTGGAAAGAACAAGTCCAGTAAAGAGGGCTGTCAGAGGATTGGTTCAGGACCCAACACACATTTTGTGGACATGGAAACCTGAATCTTCCACATTACACTGGAATCATTTTACTTGTATACCACAACAATTTAGTTAAGTTAAGTCATTGCATCCTTTAAAACTAGTCCAGTCATCATATGATTAATGTTAATGACTGAGGGGAAAGCATGAATGTCACTCTAACGTGAATAAGCATGTGAGATGCTCACTTCATGTAACAGATGAAATGAATGCAAAGACTAATAACTGATACTGTCTGAGGTCATCTCAGGCTCAAAGATCTGATCCTATATTTTTTTTCTCAAGGACAGTGCACATCGATAAACACTGCAGTAAATATTCCAGTATTAGCCAAAAGGCTAGTTTTCATCTGTAGTCACTGGTCAGGTGTAAACATTTGCAGCCTAAAGTCAGTGTAAATCAAGAAACATGTTAAAAACAATAATCATGATGCAAGGCATGACAAAACGTAGTCAGACACTCAAATTAGTTCCAAGTACATTGGTTTGCAGTACAGGTTTAGAGCGAGCTCTAAGATCAAAATGCATAAAATGATCTAGGCTGAATTTTATCTATTTGATGTTTGATGACACATGTTCTACATTATCTCTTCTTCACTGACTTCAGTTATACTTCTGTTTTAAAATCAAAAGTATTGCTGCCCTAGGTCAATAAACCACTATCTGAAAACAATAGACACAGAGGTTAGAATTCGTCCACAAACAATAGCAACATTTTTTTTTAATTTCTAGTTCTAGTTACATGCATACACAGGTGCAGAGGTATTGTTCAAGCACCATGCACATTGTACAGTGCACATACACTGATGTGCAAAGAACATGACATAGATAGCCTAATAGGCCTTACAGTCCTGTATTCAGGCCAGTGCCTTCTATTGCTGATGAACTACAGTTTAAACAAAGACTACACATAGTTCAGATGCCTGCTAGTGGGGGGTCAGCAAGTTTGTTTTCAGGGCATCATCACTTCTTGTGGTGTACTGACTCTCAGCCACCTCTAGAGGGTGTGCCAACACATGGGATCAACTGCAAACATCTGTAGTGCTACTCTATATAGTAGGAGATGTGAAGTAATAAGACAGAGTATGTTTGGAATAAATTAACCCAAATTAAAAGACAGAAATATTCATGTGTGTGAACTATGATAGCTACACTGTATGTGTATTATAGGAACATGCTATAATACTGTAACATATCGAACATTCATGCTCAATGCAGATGTTATTTTAGGCTGACATGCTTTCATTCACTTTTCTGGAGTGCCCATTTGGCTCAACATGCTATGATAGTCAGCAACTTTCAACATTTTCCATTTTTAATTCCAGCCACATTTCATTATGGCCATGTGCTCTATGTTGGAAAGGAAGAAAGTAATCTCTGCTGATTTCTCCCTGTGCTATTGCTGAATGTCACTGCACAAATGACTCTAGAGAGACGTTGTTGTTCTTTGGTTCTGAGGAACTTACATGAAAACACACATTGCTACTTCGTCTTCTTTAAAGCCAAACAGGTGCGTGTGTGTGTGCATAATAGGGTACAGATCCTAAGCAAGTACAATGAGTTTCAAACCAACCTCTAAACCTACTGGTCTATTTCTTCTCATTTCATAATAACAAGTGTCCTAAGCAACAAGACCGATCAGATGCGTTGACGTGACTTCTGGGACTGACTTCAGATAAATATGGCCGTAATTAAGAGCAATATCATATGTGTGTGGTTTAGGAAGACACATGCTTTTCTGTAAACATTGATACGAAAAGAAATACTAAACAAACAAGAAGGCTCTCAAACAATAGCTTAGGTGAAGGCCAAAACAGTGTAGCAGATGGACAAAACCCAGATTTCCAGAGCAACTGAGAGGATCACAACAAATGTGAAAAATAATAATAAGGACTACAGAGACTGCTGAAAAGTGGAGCTGAGAGGTAAAATGAAAAATAGATCTCAAAAATGGACCTCAACAACTGCCTTTACTGATGTGATGTGCAAGTCATCAAAAACCACTACTAATTATTTTGGTAGATTTTTACATTTGGCTACCTTTGGTCACATTTCCACTGTATGGAACAGCTCGACTCGGCTCTACCATACTCACTTTTGGAACCTCTACTTTATTTACCACTACATATGGTACCTATATATATCACACAACATACTATTATCTATATTATACTTATATTGATAATACCGCCTAAACCTAGGTGGAGCCAATTGTCATGGCAACACAGTTAGGAAACAACACACAGGAGCTTTACTTTGGTCTTGAGGAGCTGCAGCTTAAATTCACGAACAAAATGTAAACAACACTGTACATTTACTGCCAGACTGATAAATTCACTGCTCTCATTCCCTCTGCACGGCCCGCAGTCTCTCGCATCCACACACTAACTACGCACACAAAAAGGAGCTGCTACTCTTTGAATAGAGGATGTGAAGGTATGGCATTCTTCATACATCTGCACTTTGTCAATTGACCATGGGGTGGATATGTGGGCTGCCATTTTTATTGAATAAAAAAATACCTTCTTTTTTTTTTTTTTTAAATTGTGCAGGATGTCATGTTGCATTACCAATCAGTTGCCTGCAGTGTTTTCATGTCACCTTTTAATAACAGCTCAGCTTGTTGGAACCTTGACCGAGGTGGTACTGTCCATAATGGACGAAAAAACCGAAAAGAGCGAGCATAGTAGAGTCACACCATGTGGTGGAAAAGCAACTTAAGTTAACTTGCCACATTTTCCTGGCATTACATTATGCAAATACAAATTTTCATGCTATGTGGTTCTGATACTTTTCAGTTTTATACCCACTGGCTCTCTAATGATGGTTAACTGAATAAATTAGAGAACCATTGCTGACCAATTACAGGTCCAGTGTGTAACATTTAGGATGATCTATTGTCAGAAAAAGACTATAGTATTCATAGGTATGTTTTCATTAGTGTATAAATCACCTGAATATAGGAATAGCTATTTTTACGAGGTACAGAGCTACGATCTGCAACTACATCGCTAAATGCCACTTAATCCTACACACTGGACCTGTGTCAGTTAAAAACTCTGCAGTGTCTGTGTGTGTGTGTGTGTGTGTGTGTGTGTGTGTGTCTGTGTGTGTCTGTGTGTGTGTGTGTGTGTGTGTGTGAGTGTGGCTCAGGTGAGGCCCCAGGTAGAGCCTCTTACCGTAAGTACCATATTCAGCGGGGCTGGTGCCTGGGTAGTAGCCTGGGGTGCCTGCTGGGACTGGGTATTGCTGGGGTGTGGCCACATAGGTTGCTGACCGGTACTAATGAAACAAAGAAGAGAGGAAAAAGGGTTAGGGAGGAGAGACAAACAATGTTATTAGATACGGTCATAAAAGCAATTTAAACAATGAGTGCAAACATAGGCCTGCTTTAGACCATTAAAAGGTACGTCAGTATTGTTGATACATTGTTTACGAATTTATTCAAACTAGAAAAACACGAAAAGAAAAAGCTCGAGAGAGATGATATCAGGAGAAATTCCGTCGGTGGTGTCACGTTAGCTGTCCCTATACCATCTGGCTCGCGTAAGAAGAAGATTTGGCAGCATCAGTACTTGAGCTACCCCCAGTTTGTGCCCCCTACCTGTCCCGGTATAAAGTAGGCAGGTCCCTGTGGTGAGCTGGGGAAGGGCAACTGTTGTCCAGGGATCATCATCATTTGTGAGCCAGGGCCCGCCTGGTAGACATGGGTGGGCGTCACAGGCCGAGGGCCACTGCTGGGAGGGACGCCCCGAGGCCCACTGTTGGGAGGCAGGGTGGCCCTGTTGGTGTAAAAGGGCTAGAGAGGAGGCAGGGAGAAGACAGAAAAAGAGGCCACAAGAAAATGTGGGAAGAGGAGAGGGATAGAAATAGGGGTAGAAGAGAGAGACAAATACAGGAATTATTAGTTACTTTTCTAATACCTCTGACATAAAAACCATCCCACATGCCCTTGTTGGATTTTATCTCTTGGTACAAGTGGAGCTAGCTTGTCCAGCCTACAAGCTAGGCTAATAGTTTGTCCATGAATCTATGGCTGGACTCCAACTGGAAACATATTGGCCCTGCCTGCCAGAAGAGATAAAACAGCTAATGCTGGTTCATTCAGAGACTACTCATTGACATTCTGCTGCTGTCCTGGGAGCTAACTGCCGTAGCCAGCAAGATGACACCAAGCCAACAAAGCACAACGCTGCCAAATATTAGACACACACATATGCACTCCTCAAGAGGGTGAGAAAAAAAAGGGATGAAAAATCTGGAAGAAACCGGAAATTGAGTTACCTGTAGCGACCTGAAGCTTCCCTTCAGCAGCGCAAACACAGATCACACACAGAGACACATCAAATGGACGCAAGAAGAGGGTGGGAAGAGAAGGATTGTGAAAAAGAGAGCACCACAATCAGTTAGAGCAAAGCCCCCAGAAACTGTCTGTTCTGAGCCAAGCAACATGCAGCGAATAGGCAGAACACTGAATCCAAATAAACTAGATCTAGTTACTCTTGAACTTAACTGTAACTGAAAGATGGGCATTAATCATCTATGTTTACTTCTTTCAATTATATCAATCTGAGCACTTTTCAAAGGTTAAAAAAACAAGTGTTTTCAAGAGTGTTAATACATTCCCATATGAAACCCACAATGTTAAATATTCCTTACCAGTAATTAATATTATCTGTCAGAAGAATCTTTAATTTCTTAATTGGGTTGCATACATGTCACTTTTGGGAAAGTAACTATTCTTGTAAGTTTCCCATAGTTTCATGTACAAATATTTCCTTACAGCAACAACAGTCACCTTTAAAATGGTATCACATTAGGATATCAAGGTATTTGGTCAAAAAAATTGTTTGTCCTGTAGCACACCTTAGGAGGCTCACCATCTACTACTGCTTCTAATACGTGTTACAATATAGGAAACCCCCCTCTTGTTAGTCAGTTGTGCTGTTAGTACCTGTTGGTGTATAGGCCGGGGCCCTGGGGCAAACTAGAGGAGGAGAGGCAGACAGTACAGAGGTTAAAGACAAAAGCACAGGATCCATGCTTCACTCTCATTGACAGGCTCATTCCAGTTCTGCACCTTTACAACGGCACATAACCACAGCCATGCCCACTTTTATTTTCACATGGCATTCTTTTACCCAACTGGCACTTGCTTACCAATTTATTAACAATACAACAATGCTATTCTAAAGGACCAGTGAGTAGGATTTAGTGGCATCTAGTGGTGTAGTTGCCGATTACAAAACTCACAAAAAACGTGAACCATTTTTGGTTTGTCTGTTCTGAGCTACTGTAGAAACATGGTGGCCTCCATAGAAGAAGACCTGCTACATCTGCAGATAGCAACATCTGATTCTAAAATAACAAAAACATAAAGATTCTTAGGCGATTGTTCACTACATGACATAACTATGACTATTATATTCCGTTTCTCCCAATAAATCCTCCTACATTTCACACATTTCAACAAGTATTAAAACTGTAACAAATACATAATTAACCTGCTCAATCCTGTACACTGTAAATGATAAATGACTATAAATAAGACTCCATACAAAACATTTAAAACTTAAATGAAGAAAGAAGGGTCTGCCGGCATATTGGCCGAACTCTAATAAATGACATCAAATCCAGTTGGGGCTGCTTGCATTTCTTCCTGTCAGTCAGGAGCACTAAGCAGTTAAAGAGTTTAAATCATATAGCTGTGACACTTTGTGAGGTAGAGTATGAAGGCCAGGCTGACACTCAGTTAGTAATTGTGCAGAACTGGTGAGAAGTAGGCAGAGGGACATGCAGGCATTCTAAGAAATTCACATATGGATTGGGAAGATTTCAGTGACCAGTAATTATGCCAAACTGCCCACAGCGACGTTTGCAGTGGAAAGAAAAGGCCTTGACACTTTCTATCCTGATTGGTTTGTCTGTCACTCACATGACAAATGTGAGGTTTAGGAATTAAAAGGACACATTTTAGATTCATAATGCACCACAAAAGTTAACTCAATAACTGGTGTGGAAGACAATGAACTATCTCTGACATGTGATGGAAGAAGTAATTATTTTCGGGAATGGAGCAAAGTCCGCCACTGTGGGTGCACTGTGGGGTGGGTGAGCAGCGGGTAGGCCTACCTGTCGGGACTGCGGTGTTGGGTTCATTTGTGGAGGCGGTGGGGTGGCAAACACAACAGAAGGGGGCTGCCCAGGGGGGAATGAGGGCTGCAAGAGACAGGAAGTGATATCAACGGCAGAAGAGTGGGACGCAGGAGGAATAAGGGGTGAGAAGGCAGGGATGAACAGTAGACAAGTGGTCAACAAGGGCACAGATACTGAGATTGATATTTGAGGTCACATTATTCCGCTTTTTTCAAAATAACATCTTTTCATATTTAAGTCAATGGGGATGGAAGACGTTACCTTAAGCAGAGGGAGGGAAAACTTTCTGAATGTTATTACACTCTTAATTTAAAGAAGAAAAAAAATTTGGGGGGCCAGAAAATATATATTTTTTAAAAAAAGTGAAAACTGATGACCACTGTTTCCCAAAGCAACATGACTCATATGTCTTGTTTTGTCCACAACTGTCATAGAGGACTGAAGAAACCAGAAAATATTCATATTTGAGAAGGTTTGGATTTTGATTCTTTAAAAAATTACTCAAAACGATTAATGAATTATCAAAATAGTTGCAGATTAATTTAATAATTGATGACTAGTTGATTTATGGACTAATCGCTGATAATAACAATGAAGATGCTGCAAGGCAGCTGAAAATGTGATGGCAAAGCTGTAAATGGACCTAGCAGCAGCCATAGACGTAGCTGTAGTTATGTCTGACAATCACTATGGAGTACAAGGACTGTGTTGTGGGACTTTCTACTACATGGTTGAGAGTTGTACCAAAGAACTGCTTGCGGCTGCTGCAACCATTCTCCACCAGAGAGAATGCATTGTTTTCTGATCTGCTTTTCATTATGTGTGCAACAGCGCTGTCACGACAGCCCTTTTTCTTTGAGAAACCATGTGGGATAGAGACAGACGTCCTAAAAGAGCTGATACAGGAAGTTAAGAAGCAGGGTTTTCTTACCTGTGAAAGGCCAGGGGAGGGGGCAGGGTGGGGGGTGGAGGGGGGTCCTGTTATAGGCTGTGGTGCTTTATTCATTTCATGGAGTTCTGCATGGGGAGGCAGATGTGGACCTGTGTACAAATCTGGCGAAAGAGAGAACAGGGGGGTTAAATGTGTCTTCTGTCTTGTGTCTGATTTATGAAATTATGTATGCAAGTATGTGTAGAGAGTTTTAGTAGCATTTAGATTTACCAGGAGGGCTAAACATTTAAAGTTTATATTTCCTGTTAATAGTCACAGTCATTTGTATACTTACATTTATGACCCGAGGAACGTTTTGTCCTAAAAGACAGACAGAGAAGCTTTGTTAACAATAGTATTGGCTAATAATGCATTTCAAATTTCTTTTTTTTCTTCTTCCATTTTTCATTTCAAAGTTACAGCATCTAAGCTAACCAAATAGCCAAACCAAAGAAGTTAGTATGTACAAAACATTTAAAGGTTTTAAAGTAGATTAATAAAGGCATATAACTAATAGGATTTTTGATGACACAAGTCTGCAGTGTCATCTGCAAGGCAGGAAAAAGGATCATACCATACATTAGTGGTGAGTTACAGTTTTAAAATGACTGGAATTGGACTTAAGGTAGTACAAACAACAAGTCTTGTAAAATCCATTTGTATGGGATTAATTAATTAAAAGGGTTAATCCAGGTGAGTGTTGTTAACGAGCACCACCAGAGCAATGTGCCCCGTCAAGTACACCTACCGCTCTAGGCAGCACCTTATCCAGTGAGAGATTAAAGCAAGTGTGTCATCAAAATCACGCCTTTAACTCAACTTACAACAGCCAATTGAGCCCACATTTCTGTGCATACAAGCACCAATGCAGGACTGTGTACTGGAAGAAATAGGTTCCTATTCATCTGGTAAGCCAAAAACATCTCTCTTCTGCCCTTATACACAGAGACAGCCACTGTAATACAAGGTCGTAATGAGTCTTGGTCTTGATTATCAGTGCACCACGCAGACCTTATTTGAGACTTTGATAAAGATCTGCAAAAAGGCTGAAAAATGACACACCAACTCCAAACAGAACGGAAATAAACAAAAAGGACATGCATGTTGAAGTCAACATAGCCTCTATAGCCAATTACATACCACAACTATAAACTGTATTATACAATATTTTGTTTACATAAAAACATCTACTAAGGAGTTTTTCCATTATTAGTTAATCTGCCAATTATTTTATCTGGGAACTGATGAATCGTTTTAATCAATTAACCATCAATAAAAGTCCAACACAGAGAGAAGAGCCCAGCGTGATGTCATGAAATGTTTTGTTTTGTGCAACCAACAATCCGAAACCCGAAGATATTCAATCTATTATAAGGTAAAACAAGAAACAGCAACAAATCTCACACTCTGGAAGCGGGAACTTGAAATGTTTGGCATATTTTGCATGAAAATTGACTTAATTATCAAAATAGTTGCCAACTAATTTTCTGTCACTCAACTTATTGATAATGGATTGGTCTTGGCACATTTTTTCTTACTACCAACATTTTCAGTTAATGTGATAAAATGTCTAAAAAGAACATTTTTTATAACCAAACACTTCAAGGCACTGGAAAATTGGCTACTGAAGAGAACAAAACAGCAAGTTACCAATATTCTGAATGTTTTGTTTGGTCATTGCACTCATTCACAGTACACTTGGCACTGCCTGCCACCACTTTTTTAACACAACATTTAAAAGTATACATTGAACTCTAGCAGCCTAAGGCCAAAGTGTTTCAATTTTTGTAAAGAATCTACAGAGCATCACAACTGAATGTTGGTTGTTTAACTTTGTTGAGAGGTTCAAAGGGGACAACACGGAAAAGATTTCTGTTACATCTCCTGAACAGCAACATTGCCTTTCTAAATAATCACCAGTCCAGTAGATTAATTAAAAGCTTTCTTATTTTAGCCAATCACATCTACATGTCCATACATAACTGCATATGTGACCGTACAAAAACGTTACATGACACATATTATGTTACGTTATACACTAGAATTTGACCACTTGATGTCAAAAGACTCGGCTGTTCATTTTTTATTTCCTGCACCATTTTGGACGGCACTTTGTAGCAAAAGAACAAATTACTTCTTGTCTGCTTAGATACTGAGAATACAGGATATCAGAGTTTTTAACTCAGGAAATGTGGTCAGCAGCATATAGATACCAAAATTTAGGGTGTTGTCATTATATCAGAACAGATACCCATGGCCTTTTATTTATCTGCAGTTTAAAATCTGTTTACCTCGCTGAGTGACACTGATATAATGTATTCCTCAATGTGTAAGCTAGAAGAAAACAGTTACCTAAAGTGAAGACACTGATAATGTTGTAAATTTCTATCACGTTTATGAACTATGGCTGAAGGCTCAGTTTTCCCGTTGTATCCCCAACACAAAAAAGTTAAACGAGATGTGTGGAAATAATATGGATTGCAAACTAAAGAATGACAGGGAGTTCAGGTTTTTCTTAAAAAAATGTAAGGTAAACTGAATCCAGAAAGTATTTTGGTGATTATCAGCATAATACTGTATATTATATTGGCTTGTATAATTGTGACCTGAAATTTTCATATCACCCCATGCCTAATTGAAAATGATACCAATCCAATGTATCAGATAAATGCATCTAACAAAGTTGAATTGTCTTCAACTTCAGTGAAAGTGCCTCAGTTCACACCTCCTACAGGAATTCTTTGTCATTTTGCATCCACTGGCATACTTCCATTGGCTACTTTTACAATTGCACAACCTCTGAAATTTTGTTTGCATTCAGTCTGAACACACACTGACATATATACTTAAGAAACAAACCCTACATAATACAGTTTTTGTCTCAATGACTGAAACTATGTAGACAATTTTTTACATAGTACTTTCACCCCTCTGACTCAAGGGTCATTTCCTGATTCCCCTGTAATAATCCTCCTTAGGTTATATGGAGGTTACAATAATAACACATATGGTATTTATAGCCGAAGCCTACATTATCTCTGCTATTGACACACAAATACACCCCCTTTCCCTGAAACACACACACAGAAGCAGCAGTGTAAAAAGCCTGAGTCATGATGAATCAGGGTGTTTTTTTCATTTCTCAAAGAGGAGGAAATCACACTGCAGAAATGGTTGTAATCGCCAGTGTTACCATGACTATATCAGCACACAAACAAAGGAAGGCCAAAAGATAATTGATTTTAACTGAGGGAGGGTTTCCATATAGCCGGTTTAATCCCTGGCTTAGAAAAACACTGACTGACAGACATCGATGGAAGGCTCATCCCCGATGCTGAAGCCTTGGAGCTGGGAGAAAGGCGGAAATATGGTATATAGGGTTAGGAAAGGACTGTAGAGGGGTGTCAGGCAGCAGTTCAAAGGATCATCCACAAACAGAAAGATTGTCAGACTGAGCGGGGCTGGCTGGGAGACGAAATGCTGAATAAACAATCTCAGGGCAAAAAGAGGATCTCAGACCAACAACCTACACCACCTCACTGGCTTTACTTCTCTCACCAGAGAACACAAACAAAACCTATATTTGTTTGGGGGAATGCTTTACCCTGAAGTAGTGAGACGTGACCGGCTTTTTGAACAACTACTGTGCCAGTAACACACACAGTCAACCCCAGGTTAGTCTGCAGAATTTAGGAAAATTGGCAATCAGTATAAATTCAGGGAACAGTGTACAGCACTAAAGTACTGGCAAAGAGGGGTACCCCAGAAGCACGCATTTTTGAGTCAATTTGTGTTTTAGGAGAGTTATGTGAGCTAACGCAAGGCAGGTGCCTCACCACACCGCCTAATCACACACAGCCCAGTCATTTGAGCTGGTCTGACATGCAGCACCGTGGAGATCCAGCCACCAGAACCACTGCTAGTAAAACATGCTCCTTCAAATGTTGCATAAGCCTCTGCATGCACTCCCATGACCCTATAAAGAGGAGGGGGAGAACATTAAAGAAGTAGGCTATCGTGTCACCTATAGAGGGTGTAGCCACTGCGAATTTACCACTGTCTCTGCGTACACATGATCTACACTCATTGTACACACTGCACACTCAATGTGCAACTTTTGTTAAATAACTGCTTGCTGAAAATGGCCTTTCCCAATTTGATCCATGCTGAAAACTAAGCAAACTTTACTGCCTGTTGACGTCAGTGAAAAAGTACATGAGTCATTGGCTTTATGAGTTCATGGCCAGCTGCAGATTTCAAGATAGTTTGCAAATGTCATGATATACATTGAACTACTGCATTTACACACATTGAATCCTTAGCTTCTGCTTTGCCCATCATCCATCACTTTTATTAACTTCCCTGTTATATGCAGTTCACTGGCCTGCAGGCCATTATGGAAGTCTGTACCTGCCATCACAGAGCCACTGTGTTGGCTGCGGTGGTAACACAGGGACACAAAAAGCTCCAGTGGTGGTAGGCTTCACTTAACTCAGCTTGAGCACTTAAACTGTGGAAAAACTACTGCTTAAATTTAGCCCATGAGCCAAAAAGGGGGGAGCAACATGCCTGTTATGTCAAACAGAGTAGTGTTTTTGGTCCACTCTTTGTAGGCAGAACCAACACATTCTGAACAAATTGAAGTTCACTGACCTAAGCAGAAGGGAGTCTATGGTTAGGTTTCTGCAATACCATGCTGCTTCTTAAAGGGGAATTGCACTGATTTAATAATGCCCTTACACAAAGTTGGGGAGACTCACAAGAGAGACACCTCTGAAGGGTCATAATTCAAGAAGCAGAGGTTGAGATAGCCTGAATTTTAGTCTCTAGTCTGGTTTAAGCACCAAAAACACTGGATAGTACATTTCCAATAATGCAATGTAATAGCATCTGACATTAAACAATCCCTATCTGCTAAATGCCCACATCTTTTAAATGCCCACATCCCCAGTTTGTAACACAAGCTTTCTAATTACAAGTCCCAAATCAATCTGAAACAAAGCTTCCTTCAATGCGACAGAAGACAAGTAATCTTCATATGTAAAATGAGTGGCATGCTCCTTTAACATAAAGCTACAGCAGCTTAAATAAACACAAAACAACAGATTTACCAGAACAAACCCATTCTTTACAATACTGCCACTAACATTGATCAATACCTGAAACCAAACTGGTTTTCCATGATCACATTCACCCAGCAAATGTGGCTTCAGTCAGACATTTCAAGCTGAGAAGGATGTACAGACAGTGACAGTGAAAGTTAAACTCCAGTGACACAGCATCACACCAGCACAGCCGGTTCTGCCCCCCCCCTCTCAAATGTTCCTCTGGTTAACTAAAATTCTGCCAAAACCCACACACATGCCCAGACTCTAGGCTTTCAAGTTTAACAACAGGAAGCCCAGCAGTGTCCTTATGTCAGGCAAACTGTGACAGCCTGGCTCTGACACATCATGCATTTGTCCTGTGATTGCACTTCTGCTATTAGTTTCATTCAGTCTGACTGAAGCATGTTTGCATGTGTGTAGATGTACAAAGACATGGGAGCTATATGGTGTCCGTTGCCAGGAATAGGAAACTGCATCCATTTTAGACCCACATTCTCAGCTAAGGTCACATGTCTGCAGTCCTAAACATCAGCCTCATGCCTGCCACAGCAAGCAGGATGAAGTTATCAATAAACAGCTTTAATCATGAACATACCAACCCTCCAAACCAACAATCTGACACACTGTCAGTGTCAGAAGACAGCTGCGACGCTCATATCCAGTGGTAAAACACCGGTGTTTCGTCTGCTTGAACTGTGGGACACTTTTGCTATGACACAGGGGCGTGTCTGCACACACACACACACACACACACACACACACACACACAGCTATTTGCAGGGCATTATATTAAAAACACACAGCTATTAAATTCTCCCTCTTGCCAAAACACCTACAAATATGGATGCGAGGACGTGCTGCTCTATGTTGTGCTGTTAGCCATGTTGCTAACTTTCCTAGGCCCAATCTGGGTTTACCACGTGGTTTCCCCTGCTATTGGCGCGATGCAAACCCCAGCTGCCGGCTTCATGCCAGCCACACCTCAACCGATATCGGCTATAACAACCATGTTTTTCCTGAACAGCAAAACACAAACCAAGCACAAACGATGCTTTAAGGAGTCAGCAGTGCATAGAGACGTGACGGCGGTCGTATCAATGAATGGAAATACTAACCTAGATAACTCAAGCTAAGGAGGTGGCTACTGGTTATTAGCTCGTACATTTGCATTCAATATGTAAATATGCTACTCACATTCAGTGACTACAACTGCTCCAAAGCGTTGGCTAGCTAGGTATAAACACAGTTGCAGTGCTGTCAACGATGTCGTGACAACAATGAGTTAACGTTAGCCAGAATGAGTCAGACACCTCCGTTTCATTTCGCAGCCCAACATCTCGCCCAGATTACCAGCAACATCACCATCGTGACAGCCTGCGTTTGCATTCACACATTACAGGGGATGCTGATGGGAAATCCAGTTACAATGGATAACTTGAAGGCACAGCGAGCTGTCAACCATCCCAACAGGGCCACAATGAAGTCGTCACAGCTTTCCAAATTCAAAACAACTGTCCTGTCAATGAGTCACCAACCGCTCTTTAACCTCCACCGGCAGTTACAACTGCCTCTAAATATGTGACAGCATTAGCTTTCAGGTATTTTACGTTGTCTGGGTAACTAGGGGAGTAATGTCTGCTCGGCTCATGAACAGAGACCTCGCTGCACCACCACCTTTACATACACTGCCGCCCAACAAAACTGATTTCAGATAGCTGGCAGCAGCGTTACATGGTCCTCACATGGTTTCATTTCAGGTCTAAAGTTATCAGTGTACTCTTCATACACACCAAGGCTGACAAATGTGTGGACACAGCCTCCATCACTCTCTGCTAGGAGGTGGCACCAAGGCAAGACACAGTGTCGACACAACTAGAGTTATTTAACCTACTGCTACATATAGAACGTTAGCTCACTGTGTAGCAGGCTAGCAAGCGGTTGGAGAGCTAGCAGCATGAATTACGTTAACCGGCGAAAACAACAACAACATTGTGGTGCGACAGTCTACGTGTCGCTTTCCATGTGTAATATATCACACACAGTATAATATGTTTCTGAGCGTCACATGAGTAAAGGCTCATATTGGCTGTCTATCTAAGTGTTAGCTTGCTAGCCGGAGAAGCTAAAGTGAAGAAAGAACACCCACGTCGCATTAGCATGGGATGCTAGCGACCAGCTAGCTAGCTAATCCCTGAAAACACAGCAGGAACAGCAGAGAGCAGCAACCACTGAACAAAGTCACCACAGTTAGCTAAATCTCCACACTGAAAGACCAAACATACATCTGAATGTCGTCCCAGGGCCTCTATGTAACAGCGACTTAACACTCGTCTGACAATTTGAACATTTTAATAAAGAATTTAGCCCAGGACCGTGGCCGTTACCTTTCTCTCCTTGAGTCCGCAGAGCCGGACGGACGGAAAATGTTCCCGGAAGCCGGTAGTGATGGGCGAAAGCCAAAATCCCATCACGTGAAACTTTCCCAGTAATCGTGCTGTCGGCTGTGGAGATAGTGAAGTATTCTCATGTCGTTTATCTTTATTGTGTTCGCACATGAGTAACACGCCGGAGACGTTTTAATATTTTAATGGTTCCCAAAACATTTCAACTTTGTTCTCAAAATAAAGTTATATCCAATTTATATGCAGATCAAAATAAGGATTTTTTTGATTTCACGTTAAAGTTCAAATTACCCATCATCTATAAATTGTTCCAACACTGAATGGTTATTGTTAAATTCTCATTAGGTTATAAATAGGTTTCATTATAGGTTAAATAATTGCTCTGAAGAGAAAAGACAGTTAAAATACTGTGATGGTCTGATCTGTGCTAAGGTAAAAATACACATCAGCCACTGTTTATGGGAACAGACTGTGCATTATATTGCATGGCATACAGCCAGTGCTTGATATATAACACATACACTGACAAAACCATTCAGATTTGTCAACAATCCATCTTTAAAAACAAACATAATACATTTTTGCAAATGTTCATAAGGGTAAACTGAACTTCATCAAAGACCAAGGATACACAGCCTAACTGCTGTCATACTCCTGGACCCAGGCCCATGGAGGGATGGACAGACCCAGTGTTACATCTGCTTCATAGAGGTTTAGAATGAGAAACTAATGGTACATTTATTTTAAAAAAATAATAATGACATAGGCTAATTGTAGCTTTTTGAGTATTTCATATCTCCTGGAAGTTAGTTGACAAAGTATTAACTAATTTCAGCTAATAGCAGAAATATCAGAAGCACACTTCAAAAGTAAACCTTTTCTAAAAATGCTCTTACATCAGTGTTAAAATGTCACAACTATTGCTGACATTACTTTCCTCCATGAATATAAACACACACTACAGACAACTGTCGAATGACTTAACAGCTCCTCCTTGTGGAGAACCTTCAGCCTACTGAATTTGAATGACAGCACTTGAAAGTAAATCATAGGTTAGCCAAAACATACTTTGCACCTAAATCAACATAAAACACACAGCCATCACATTTCCACCATATGGATCTGACTTTTTTATTTTTGATTCAATCTTTTACAGTACTGTAACAAAAACCAAAAAAAAAAGAAGAAAAAACGTGATGAAGAATACATACTTTTAAATGCTCTAATTACAAAAATGACTGAGGATGTAAGTATTGGGGAAACACATTTGAAGCACTGATGGGGACTGAGCAGTTGTTTTCCCATTTACTGATGAAATATACAGGAGGTTGGTCAACAGTTCCCACACTGAACTGGCTCAGTCAAACAGCTGGTTCAGTACATGTGGGGAGAGGTGGATCAAAATTAGAGCAATGAGGAAACCATCTACGTAGAGTGGATGAGGTCCCAGTTTTACCCTCCCCTGTGTGATCCCAGTCCAATTAACCAGACCCCAACCATCCATTTTTAATGAGCGCTGGAGCTGGGCCAGTGAGAAGACACAGCGAGGAAGAAGGATAGGCCTGCCTTGCTCTTTTCAGCCATGCAATAAACAACTAAATATAACAACTGCCAAGAGCCATGGAGGGCTACCCTTACAAACAGAGCAAAAGGCCAGTAAGAATGGGGTTTTTTTTAGGGAAGGGGCCATCTAGGTTTCATAGTTGGGATTCTTGCGGAGGATAACAAAGCCCTCCAGGATGGGGGTGACGGGGAGGTACTCCTCTGTGGCCAACTCAGCCCTCTCTCCGTGAGCCAGCAACACCGGCGTGGTGTGGGTCTGGAAACCTGTGATGGCCTTTGGCTTGCCCGCCTGGCCCACGACATCCACAGCCTGCAGACATCAGACAAACTCATGTTAAACAGCCATTTCTGCTTTCACCTTCAGACCAGAATTCTTGGATTTTGGTTGCTGAAAACATTCCGTAAGTTCTCAAACATTTCTAAACAATAAGTGTTGGATGTTGGTCCACACTCCAACATCCAAAACTCAAAAGAATAGTTCTACATGTTTGGAAAATATGATAATGGACTTTATTGTGGCAAGTTAGGGGGAAGACCAAAAGCAGATCTCCGTTAAATATGAAGTTACAGCCAGGAAACTGTTAGTCCGACTCTGTTCAATTACCATGATATATCTTGTTTGTTTAATCCATACAAAAACAACAAGCTATGGTTTATGGGGGGGCTATGTACTAAACTGTTTCTTGGCCAGTCACAGTGACTTCCTGGAGTCACTGTTAACTGCCTAGCAACCTAATGGTGAGGTCAACATGATAACATAAGATTGAACTTAATTCATCCTGAGGGAAATGAATGAACATTAATCAGTGAGCATTAGAGGTGAAGGTAGGTGGTTACCTATGGACTGAGCAAGGATAACTTGTTTTCCCCTGCTTTTATGCTAAGTTAAATAGCTTCTTGTTTCAGCTTTTCATTTCAGACATGAGACTGGTATTAACTTTTCATCTTATTCTCTGCAAGAAAGCATTACAGCAGTCACACATGAAGGCAAGCGAGTGACCATAGTTTAACACTTCGTACTCGTTTCTAGTAGAGCAGTTTCTGTTGATAAATACAGTTTTCCATAAACAGAAAAACAATTACACACTAATTGGACAATAGCAATTTCTACAAATATTCCCGTCAGACGGATTTTACTAATATTAATTTTCCTAGGCTTCACCTGTCCAACTCTGACAGACACAGGCAGTGGTCGTAGCTCCTCATCGAAGGTGACCAGCATACGTGGCTGCATGGCTGCTACCAGGCCGTAGAGAATGTAGTGAGATTTCCCCAGGATTACTGTAATGCACAGTGAATGAACACCAGGAAGAATGTTAACACAGGATAATTTAATTACAACCTTCAAATTATAAAACAGAAATGGACAATGATAAGTGTGTGTGGAAGCAGGGAGATGTTGCGAAGGCAACAGGAGGAAAATTAACTGACTGTTCTTGACGTCGAGGAAGGAAACAAGCACGGTGAGCAGTCCAGCCACGGCGACCTGACTCATCAGCTGCCTGTCGCTATGGTAGGGACAGAGTGTCAGTGTGCCTTTGCCCAGGTGAGTCAGACCCTGTGGAGGCACAAACAGCAGACAGTCAATAGTAGCTCGTATACACACTCACACTTTCCCAAAAGTTCACATGCGTTTGGTACAGAGTGCCTTTTGTGTTGCCACCCACCTGAGCCAGTCGGACCATGAAGAGATTGTTAGGGTCTTTGGCGTGATACTGAGCCAGCTGCCGCAGCATGGCAGCCAGACGGGCGTTATTTGTGCCTGAGAAAAAGGAAAAAATGACGAGCCCTTTAAATATGTTGAGGAAGTCAACACTAGAGGCACTCCCAGAGGACGTGGCATTGTGCATCACTGAAAATGTCAAACACATAAAATACACCTTCAAGTATTCAATGCTATTTCTAGGGAAAATCATCAGTGGGGTAAGACTAGAAAATCTCCCTTCTACAATAGCACTTATCCGGAAGTCATCTGCATCCTAAACGCTTCACTGGTTGTATAAAGAACCTGTCTTTATGGGCATGAGCCATATGGTTGCACTACTGTATTTATTGTATCATTACTGCACTGTAATTGTGGCAGTGTGTTTTTCTATGTCATTATATGTTTTATTTTGAGCACACCATAACAAATTACAATCAATCATGGTTGAAGCGACAATACATCATTGAATCTTTTAATAGAGGAAAGCTGTCCACCTTTGGCAGATAATGTGTGATATCAGTGCATGATTATAGTAACAGCGCTGTGACAGCATCTTATTTCTATGTACTCAAAATAGAAGAGAACCTATTTAATGAGCGGGTGTTAATTTCATGAAAAAGTTGCAGCTTTGTTTTGTCAATTTTATTTAAAAACAGCTAAAGGTGTGTTTAGCTAATATATGCAAGTCATAATACTGCTAATGGTGCCATGACTATTGCATTCAATTATCTATTTCTGTATAGTTAAAAACAGGTTACTGTGCATCATGGCCGTTCAGTCAGAAATTCCAAGACCACACTTACACAGGAGTTCAGTATTGTCACAGCTGTCACACAGTTAACACTATTGTATGGGATGCTTATAACCAGACTTACCACTGCCAACCATGCCCATGGCAAAGATGGAGTTGTGGGACACCTCAGGGTCAGCATCGTGGGAAAACTTGCTAAGTGTATCCAAGATGTTCAAACGGGGGTTGGACACGGAGATGAGAGCTAAGGCTAAGGGCACCGCTCGCCTCAGAGTGGGCTCACCGTAACGCAGCTGATGATAGGAATACAGAGAATATAAGAGTCTTAGATGGTGTAAATTCATCAATCTGATGCAAAGAGAGGAACAACAATCTGGCTCTAATTATTTTAATTGCCTACTTAAGTGTTCACACCTCAGTATACAAAAGGAACTCTTTATGTTATGATCTTAGTTTGATTCATTAAGGACATCAAGATGACTAAGAACACAGTAACCACTGATGGATCGTAACAGAAGGAAGAGGAAAATATATGGAGCAGGATCAAACGTAGGAATGATGTAATGTGGATCAAAAGAATGGGAGGTGAACTGAAAATATGAAAGTACCGTTCAGTCAAGAACAAAAAGGTCTCTTTTTGAACAGACTCGGAGGAAGGAAAAATGTGACGTAAATCAAAAGAATAAAAAAATGAAGGGTGCTGAGACAGGGGAACAATGATGTATTCAGAAAATGTAAACAAGAATAGAAAACTGACAGTAAGCAGTGCAACTCACCAGATGTCCAAATGTTCGCAGTGCCATTTCAGAACCAATCTCCTCCCCCATGGCAATGAGTGCAATACCAAGAACAGCTACACCCTAAGAGGAAGATATAAAAAATAACCGTTTTCTCTTCTCACCCCATATACAAAAACTACACAAGGATCCATGATATAGCTGATAAAGGAACTACTGAATAAAGAAAAATAGTCAAATAATTGAGTGATTAGAGTTATGAGTCAAATGTTTGAGAATAATCATGATA